TAAATACTGGTTAGATATAAAATTTATTTACAATGCTTATGGTGAGCAGTAACTTGATTGATTGCAGTGTAAATGACATATGAAGTTGATTGATTCCAGTTGATTGAAATGGAACAGTTATACAATTTAGTGAATTAAATCTATGTAAGTTGACTTTAGATAAAGAAATGTAATCACAACTATCATTTTGATGGTCTTATAAATTCTTATCTTGACTACATTGATTCATAGTTTTCAGTTCTAATTACAAAGCCAGTCAAATTTTCACGAACATATCAATCAAGATCTTATTCATTTCCACTTCAATAGAATCTACTTTTACCATTGTAGGGTTGAGGTCACCAGAAACTATCTGCATGTGGAAATTCTGAGGGTTCGAGTGAGAAGCCATGACTGGTGGAGTTCAACCGCGTCAGCTGTGAAGCAGTTATCCACCGAACACAATAGATGAGGTCGTAAAATATCGTGGATTGATTGAAGTTAGACATTGAAGCCGTTGGATGCCGACTCAGTGGTCAAGAGGTTGAGCGTTTGTGAGTGAGACCGAAGTTTTTTGAGTCCGATCCCCGCCTTCAGGATCGTGGATCAGCACTGCTTATGATTTACATGCCAGGCCGAAACCACCTCTCAGTACTTACAGGTTTCTAATAGTATTCTAACATTGATCGATTCATGATTCCAAAGTATATACATTTCTAGTTCATCACCTTGAAGAATGGTAAACTATCGAATTAGGAACACACTGAACAGATAAAATTCAAAATTAAGACTTACAGAAAAGTTGTTTATAAAAATACCATATATGAAAATTTAGTTCAAATTCAATTCGATATCTTGAACTACCCTAATATCGATTACCGATCACATAAACTGTTGACATATAACTGCCGTGAGAAATCAACTTTTTATCTGATATGAAAAATACAATTTAAACACCAAATTTACTCAGTATGATCCAGAGTTATATCATGATTGGTGACAATCATTTGTCAAGTTTAATATTCCGACGAGAAAACACGAACATAATAATCCGTACGATAAAGCTTCATAAACACATACAGACAACCTCTAGATTTTGTCGAGAAGACATTCAATTTTTTAGATGAAAACTCCATTTAAAATATGAATAGATAGATTTAAGATATGAATTCGTGTAAATACTTTATAGCCACGCTCTAAATGTGAGGACTTGTAATACAAATCCAATCGCTCAAGTAGAAATATGCTAAGCAAGTAGGACTTACAGATCACAAGACTAAATGAACGAAAATCTGGCCTCTTAACCAGTGAACAAATATTTCATTGATGATAAAGAGCAAGTTGATGAATCGTTTAAGAACTAGCAGTTTCTTTAACCATAATTTTAAGTTAATTCTTGGAACAGATTCAATAGTTTGATAATTTATCATTTATTTTACAATCGGAATCGTGAACGAATCACTGTTAGACCACCATGACAAACCCAGAAGCACTGAACAGCCGTTTTGCGTCCTGCTATGGGACTTATCAGCAATGCTCATCCATGATTACTGACACTTGCGGGATACGAACCCCAGACCTTCGGTCTTCCTCGCGAACGCTTAACCTCTGGAGGCGGCATCCAACGGTGTTAACGTCGGACTCTGACCAATCTAGGGATTTTGCGCGACCTCACCCATTTGTATTCGGTAGTCACTGCCTACACCTGACAGGGATGAACTCCACTGGTCACATCTTCTGACTAGGACTCCGAGAATTTACTCACGAAGCTAGTCACTAGTGAGCACATTTATTGTACTACTTTAAATATGCACAAAAACTTGTGCAATGTATTGACACTTATCGAACGTTTTATAGTTGTAACTGTATTCACACAAATTATTTGTAGTACGTATCATTTATCCTCGAAGTCAAGTCCATGGAACTACACTTGTTAGTTGGGTTAGATCATGTGATATACACTATTTTACCAATAAAATATATGAATTTCAATTTCGAGCATCGAACCAATTGAATTAGTATTCAATTTACAAGTCAACAACTGATGTAAATAAATCCACATTATCTCTAAACGAATTCAGTCATAAATTAATAATAATAATTTATGACTGAATTCGTTTAGAGATAATGTGGATTTATTTACATCAGTTGTTGACTTGTAAATTGAATACTAATTCAATTGGTTCGATGCTCGAAATTGAAATTCATATATTTTATTGGTAAAATAGTGTATATCACATGATCTAACCCAACTAACAAGTGTAGTTCCATGGACTTGACTTCGAGGATAAATGATACGTACTACAAATAATTTGTGTGAATACAGTTACAACTATAAAACGATCGATAAGTGTCAATACATTGCACAAGTTTTTGTGCATATTTAAAGTAGTACAATAAATGTGCTCACTAGTGACTAGCTTCGTGAGTAAATTCTCGGAGTCCTAGTCAGAAGATGTGACTAGTGGAGTTCATCCCTGCAGGGTGTAGGCAGTAACTACCGAATAAAAATGGGTGAGGTCGCGCAAAATCCCTAGGTTGATCAGAATTAGACATTAACACTGTTGGATGCCGCCCCCAGAGGTTAAGCGTTCGCGAGCAAGACCGAAGGTCTGGGGTTCGTATCCCGCAAGTGTCAGTAATCATGGATGAGCATTGCTGATGAGTCCCATACCAGGACGAAAATGGCTGTTCAGTGCTTCTGGGTTTGTCATGGTGGTCTAACAGTGATTCGTTCACGATTCCGATTGTAAAATAAATGATAAATTATCAAACTATTGAATCTGTTCCAAGAATTAACTTAAAATTATGGTTAAAGAAACTGCTAGTTCTTAAACGATTCATCAACTTGCTCTTTATCATCAATGAAATATTTGTTCACTGGTTAAGAGGCCAGATTTTCGTTCATTTAGTCTTGTGATCTGTAAGTCCTACTTGCTTAGCATATTTCTACTTGAGCGATTGGATTTGTATTACAAGTCCTCACATTTAGAGCGTGGCTATAAAGTATTTACACGAATTCATATCTTAAATCTATCTATTCATATTTTAAATGGAGTTTTCATCTAAAAAATTGAATGTCTTCTCGACAAAATCTAGAGGTTGTCTGTATGTGTTTATGAAGCTTTATCGTACGGATTATTATGTTCGTGTTTTCTCGTCGGAATATTAAACTTGACAAATGATTGTCACCAATCATGATATAACTCTGGATCATACTGAGTAAATTTGGTGTTTAAATTGTATTTTTCATATCAGATAAAAAGTTGATTTCTCACGGCAGTTATATGTCAACAGTTTATGTGATCGGTAATCGATATTAGGGTAGTTCAAGATATCGAATTGAATTTGAACTAAATTTTCATACATGGTATTTTTATAAACACCTTTTCTGTAAGTCTTAATTTTGAATTTTATCTGTTCAGTGTGTTCCTAATTCGATAGTTTACCATTCTTCAAGGTGATGAACTAGAAATGTATATACTTTGGAATCATGAATCGATCAATGTTAGAATACTATTAGAAACCTGTAAGTACTGAGAGGTGGTTTCGGCCTGGCATGTAAATCATAAGCAGTGCTCATTCATGATCGTGAAAGCGAGAATCAAACGCTAAACCTTCGGTCTCACTCACAAACGCTCAACCTCTTGACCACTGAGTCGGCATCCAACGGCTTCAATGTCTAACTTCAATCAATCCACGATATTTTACGACCTCATCTATTGTGTTCGGTGGATAACTGCTTCACAGCTGACGCGGTTGAACTCCACCAGTCATGGCTTCTCACTAGAAGCCCTAGTATTTCCACATGCAGATAGTTTCTGGTGACCTCAACCCTACAATGGTAAAAGTAGATTCTATTGAAGTGGAAATGAATAAGATCTTGATTGATATGTTCGTGAAAATTTGACTGGCTTTGTAATTAGAACTGAAAACTATGAATCAATGTAGTCAAGATAAGAATTTATAAGACCATCAAAATGATAGCTGTGATTACATTTCTTTATCTAAAGTCAACTTAACAGATTTAATTCAGTAAATTGTATAACTGTTCCATTTCAATCAACTGGAATCAATCAACTTCATATGTCATTTACACTGCAATCAATCAAGTTACTGCTCACCATAAGCATTGTAAATAAATTTTATATCTAACCAGTATTTAAAGCAAATAACACCTGAAAACCTTAGCATAATATTACTTCTAATTTGATTGACAGTCATCAATGTATATTCACCTGCCTGTTTAAATGTGTTCAAATAGCATAAAAGTCTTCTTAAACATTTCAGAAACTATTTGGAAAGTATTTAAAAGTGTACTCATTCAATAGTTTTCTTTGTTCATTTAAGAAAAATTGTGATTATATTTTAATTACAATTTAATAAAAGCTTCTGTTATTGTTTTAGTGCAGTAAAATGAAATTATTTTCTAGAAATGAATATATAAAATCGGATGATATTGTTGTTTGTTAACTAGGTAAGTGTTCATCAGGATCTACTCTAATTAGACATGCAGTAATGTGTTAAGTATGTAAATGTGAGAAATGATAAACTAACAACGGTTTGAATCAATCAAATTCACTTGTAAGGATTTGAATCTCCACATTAGTGGCTTTTGAAGTATGTACACCCTCAATGGATGGCCTCGATTATTCGGTTTGGCTGACTAGTTCAATATCTGAACGAAAGGTGAATCATGGATTCCGCTGCCTAGACATTATCAAAACTGCTTAAAACTCTTGAATCAATGTCTTCATATTAGGAAGTATTCTCTTGCAAAATATCCCCTGACTATTTAATGATCTATGCGGTAACATTGAAAAATTAGCATCAGTAATTAAGTAGTTATACGTGTTTGTCATTAGATTATGATCTATTTGTGTCAACGCCATTTGATAGCATACTGTCGTTGAAAATTATCATTTATTGAGTTCAATGCTAACTGTTGTATAGTTGACATCGACTACTTTGAGTTATTCATTTGTTCAACAAACCTCTTGTTTTTCTTTTCTGATTGTTAGCATCAAGTTCGTACATTATTTGTGAGTGGTTTACCTTTGGATGCTAAACCAAGAGAACTTTACTTGTTATTTCGAAGTTTCAAGGTAAGCGGCAATTTCCTTGTTTTTATTGATCTGTTACATGTGGTGTTTATATATATTAATAAGTATAGTCAACATTTAATTTCTAAAAAAGTTGGCTTATTGCATCTACAGTTCGTCATCCTGATAATTTTCTCTCAACTCCTTACAACATACATAAAATTCTGGGTTTTTTTTATATATGGGGATGATTGAATCTTTGACTTCTCAGTAGTAATAACTAAAGATTTGATAAGTGTATCATTAATACGGTTTGACTTGATGAAGATAAATTGAGCATTAAGTGAATGGTTGATAATAAAAACAATGATTTGATTATCACTGAAATCATGAATAAATCATTGCTAGACCACCATTTGAAACCTGGAAGCACTGGACAGACACTTTTTCCTAGTATGGAACTCAACAGCATTGTACATCTGCGACTCTTGCTACTCGCAGGCTACGCAAAATCGTCATAGTTAGATGTTAACAGCGTTGGATGCCGCCGGCTCAATGGACCAGAGGTCAACCGTTTCCGCGCAAGACCGAAGGTGATGGGTTTGAATCGTGCTAGTAGTGTGGTGCTGTGGTGCGAACTACTTATAAGTAGTATATGACGTGAGTGTCAACGTAAAGTCTGGTAGCATAATATGGGGGGAAGATCAAGAAAGGAAGAGTTAGAAAACAATGGAATTTGTATGAAACGCATGAATAGTGACAATGGAGTGATGTTTTGCAACAGGAACAGTCCAGTTCCATAGGATGAACTGATCTTTTGCAAATGAACGATTTACGATATGGTTTTCCGATTTTACTGAGTAACTCTGTAATTTTCGCTAAATACAGTTCGGTTGCCCCACCTGTGTTCTCATTCACTACAGTAGCAGGAGTCGTAGATGCGCAATCCTGATAAGTCCCAGTCTACGACGAAACGGCCGTCCAGTGTTACCAGGTTCCTGATGGTGGTCCAACAATGATTTATTCATGATTCCAATAATAAAAAACAATCTCTATAATGGATAACGGTGTGATTGTAAAATTGAAATTTTCTCATGTTTCATGGTATAGTTTGTTACTCTGCATATGTTTCTTCAACATTGTCAGTTGACTCTTTGAGAAAAAGGAATATTTTACATTGTCAGTCTATAAAGAGGCATATCGTGCATAACAGTTTGTCGTCAATAAACTTAATGTATGTCACATAAGTCATAGGATTCTTAATTCTAATCCACTGAATGTATCTGGAACTTAATGTTTATATATATGTATATATATTCGAATCTATGCAGAAGTATCGGCTGTCTAAAGGTCACATATGTTGCCTTTCTGACAGTGGTGTAGAACTGACATCACTCAGTAACTACAATTCAAATGAAGTCGACAGAATACTGTCAGTAACAGAAACTGGATGATGAAGCTCGGGTTATTATCGGCGAGAGGTAGTATGTTTGCATTGCATGTGCTATAGTTAAAGACGGTTATCAGCAAACCCTCGACTCGGGTTTCATGTTAGTTTGCAATCTGCAGCAAAATATATCTTCCAACCTGAAGGAACTGATTTATAGAATTCGATGAGCATTCAAGTGTTAGACAAGTATGACACCGGTCAATACACTCAGTAATCTGTCAATGATAAAATATTTCAATATTTTAGGAAATGAGTCAGTACCACCTAAGGGAACACTAGTCCTCACAATATTATTCTTCCTTAACGAGTATTGACTCAGTGATAAATGAATTGTACAGAACATTCATTTTTTGTAATTATTACGTACAATCATATTGAACACACAATTTTGCTCTTCTGAATTAATTAGATTAGACTATAACAATCGATCAGCTTTATAATTATTAATTACTAAATTTGGATTATGTAATGAAATGACCAAGATTATCAGAATTATGTAATTTGTTCGTGTAATACATTTCGAACAATTTGGTCAAACATATACAACTGTTAAGACTTTCTATATGAAAAATGTAAGAGGTCAACTAAACAGACCAAAAAGATGATTATAACAGTAATAGTTTTAGTAAAGCTGGACAATAACTCAATATTACTTAGGTATACAAAGGGTAAGAATAAACTGTTTTCGAACACATAAACGGAGGTGTCAATTTGTGTATAGCCAAGGCTTCAATGAATCTTAGTGTACACCCTTGAATACTTTTGTATATCACTAGGAAAGTCTGACATGATATGAGCTTTATGACATGTCTTAACCAAATGTTCCACAATGGAGGATGATATTTGTCTTTCCTGTGGTCTTATTTGACTATTGAAATTCACTTGTTTTTGTAGCCATTTAAGTATGTATTCAGACAGCCTTACGTGTAGTTCACAATTACTCTTCGTTACATATGTGTATCAGCACATATATGTAAATTGGTAAAAGCAACAGAATGTGACGTAATTGTTTAAATGCTTTTTAAGTCTTTTCAAAATGTTTTACGCTCATATATTACATAATTCTGATAACCTTCGTCTTCTCATCTCACGATCGAAATTTATCAGAGTGACTAATTGTTTCAGTTGCTAAATATGATGACAAAGTTTTATGTGTAAAATATCTTAGCGATTGAAATTTCAATCATTGATAGACCACCATAAGAGACCTGGAAGCACTAGACGGACCTTTAATCCTAGTGTGGGACTAGCTTCGTGAGGAAATTGTCGGAGTTCTAGTGAGAAGCCATGACCAGAGTAGTTCAACTATGTGAGGCCGCAGGCTGTTACCCACCAAAGACAATGTGTAAGATTGTGCTGACAAACCTCAGAATGATTAGAGTTAGACTTTAACATCGTCGGATGGCGACTCAGTGGTCTAGAGGATAGGCGTTTTCCTGTGTTACTGAAGGTCCGAGATTCGATTCCCGGGAGCAAGTGTCGTGGTTACACACTGCTGAAGAGTCCCATATTAGGATGAAACGGCCAATGAATGCTTCTACGTTTCTACTAGTGGTCTAACCACGATTGATTCATGATTTGCAATGTCAAACAACAATCTCTATAACTCTAATTCAAATCAATCCAATGTTTTGTCCAGCAAACTTGTCTAGATATTTCATGTGTGTGTAACTAAATTAAATTATAAAATTCTGACCAGTTTCACCAAATTCATAATAAATACACATGATACAAATAATTATAATTATTCTATTTCGTTGAAATCTCTTCAAGAACAATCAATGCATGTGAAACTAGCCACAGAAAGTTAATCTAATTTATGTTAACGCATACATTTGTATGTTTGAAAGAATCTAGATTATTGAACATACAAATTTACTAGTGAAACAATATACACTGCAAAAAATAATCAATTTTCTTCTGTCTTCTATGATTATAGTACAATAAATATCATTATACATATCTTGTGATATACAACAATCTATAAATTTATTTGATTATCTAGATGAGGTCAAGGTGATTAATCATATTAATAATAATAATAATAATAATAATAATCAACTTATGCAATGAAAAAAAATATCTCTAATCTATACACCTAATATTGTCTACTGACATATAAATGTGTGTTTGTGTGTTGTGTGTGTGTGTGTGCGCATTGTTGTCCTGTGAGTAGATAAAATGTGCGTGTTTATCTACTTACTGATGTGTATTTAGCGTTGATAAGTTATTGTGAAATATAAAATTACACAGAAATACAAGTAGTACGGTTAGTGGTGTTTTTGAAATGCTGTTACAATAAATAACAGCTAGGATCATTTACTGAGAGTATAAATTCTAAGACTGGTTGTGATGACGTTTCATTCGTTGGTGATGAATGTTTTGGTTGTGGAGCTTTCATTTGTTCTTCTTCTGAACAAAAACAACAACATCAGCGCAAACTTCAGATAGTGAAGTGAAGCTGCTGACAACGATAGGTTTAAGGTCAATCACCGACATTCAAGATCGTGGTCAGCAGAACCAGCTGTAAGTCATACGACCTGGAGAAATTCGAATACTTCACTTCTTCTATCTGAAGTTTGTGCTGATGATGTTATTGTTCAGAAGAACAACGATGAAAGCTCCACAACCAGCGCATACAACGAAACTCCATTACAATCATTTACCTGATAGTCGTTTTACTTGTTCAAGCATATAACAGTTTAGACTTTAATAGAGCCACCCACAGAGCAGAACATATTTTTAGTCTATTTCCTCGTTATATCTGTTTTTATTCTCTAAACTATAATGGTCGGCCGTTTTGTTTTAGCGTAGGACGACTACTCACCAGTGCACATCCATGACCTCGCACACAGGAATCAAATCTAGGATTAGCTTTTATGTTAATCAAGAGAGACTGTGTGTCCTGGGTTAGATTCCAGCATATGTGCTCGCCTCTAAGGAGTCTCATACCAAAACGGGAACGGAGTTCAGTGGTTCCAAATTTCCAATGATGATCTAACATTGATCGGTCCATGATCCCACTAAGGCTCTAGATACAAACTTTCATTTTTTTTTATAGCAGTAATACATGGTATCTGTGCAGGTGGAATAAATTTAAACCTAACTTATTAGTCGCGTAGCGCAGCGAATATGTAAGATCTTAAATTGTTTGAAAAAAAGTTTGAAAAATCACCAGTCCTCATTTAGCTAATAATAATTACTCTTGTAAAACCTTCCGTGTTTTCTGCACCAGTTTAGCATGTCTATCTATTTATTACTTTCAGCGCTATAAGATGGTTTCATTCATCATTTTGAATTATATTCTCTTTCATAGGTTTCAAATATCTGCAATATTCTATTTCTTTAAATAAATATATTTGTATATATATGGTCAGTTTACAATAAAATATTTAACATTGAACTACTATTATGATTATTTTATTTTCCACTGTCAAAAAAAAACAAACACCCAGTATACCTGTTAGGCTAACTGTGTTTCATTATTTATCACTGAAAGAAAACATCATTCTCTTCTCTTTTTTCGTTTTTACTTAACGCTTTGTACAATATTCAAAAAATTCACCGCCTTACTTATTATTAATGATGATTTCACCTTATCACAGTCATCATCTGTTGTTGATGATTTGAACATATTCACATGGTAGTATTTTTTATTTATTTAGTTAAAAAAAGGTGCTGAGCAACACATAAACAAATTGAAGTAGTTGTGAATAGGTCACCATTCTTGTAGATGGTAGAACCGAAACAGTAAACTGTATTTCTCATATGCACTTCATTATTTTACATGTATGTATAGAGTTTATTTTGATTTTATTCAACAGTTAATTACAAACACACCTATGCACACATAGACACATACAGAGAGAGAGAGACAGATAAACTAGAACACAATAACTGCATTTATTTCGTGTTCAATTTATTATTGAATTCATTCAAAATTCAATCAAATTACGTAAACGATATGTAACAGTTTAGAATTACTATTTATTGAAATACTATGTTCTATAAATATATCATAGTTTATAGTTAGTTAGTTGAAGAAAATTCACAAATTCAAGTCTTTTCATACGCACAATTTAATAATAATAATAATAATAATAATAATAATAATAGTAAGAATAATGATAATGATAATAATTATAATAATAATTTTTTCACATGTTGTAAGACTTACTTTTCTCTGCTTAGTCTTCGATTTTCTTCAGAAAAATATTACTCTTAAAAAAAATTCACTGGTGCTTTACTCACATAATAAATGGAAATAAGTGATGTATACATTTAGGCTCAAGAATGACTTAAATATAAAACATCTTCTATGAATCCACCTTAACATTTCTCTCAAATGTTTTAGTATAGCTGAGGATGAAGAGAGTTTATTTCTTTTCTTTCATTTAATGACCTCAAACAGGCATAAATTGATAGATTTTTTCCAGGGAAGTCATGTACACTACATTCATCATACAACGGTGTTATTTATAAAGTAAGAGGATGAGAAGTAGACAGGTGAGCACTTAAACTCAGTTAGTGGATACAGTGAATCTACTTAGAGGAGTTTGTAAACCTTGAAAAAATGGTTCATGAAGCTATTTTTGGTCAGATGGACTCCTCTGTGCTATAGATTAAATGTTAAGGTCAAAGGTTCGTGAAGTTGCTTCTCAAGAAACTCACCTGTTTTGGGTTAGGAAGTATCATAGCACATACGCAAATTGTGAACGGTGAATACATATTTAGTGCCCAGTAGTACCAAGAGTTTGTATGAATTAAATCAAAGAAAGTATATAACACTATACTTCTATAAGTCGACTACTTACCTCTCCTGGAGTATAGTATGACAATCAGGATTCTATAGCCAAAACTATTATGGACTCATCTTTCCAGTTGTATCCAAATATTGTGTATTCTTTCCACGTCCATCTCCAATTCTCGGCGCAATATGTTCTTTGGTCCACCTCATTTACTTGGTCCTTGAAAATTCTAAGTTAGGCACAATCTGTATTGCCGATTGTCATTTTCATTTGAACTTCTGTTTTAGGTAAGAAATCTTTCTCTTAAGTAAACTTTAGCTGAATATTCATGGGTAAAAAATCTCTTGATTGAACTTCTTTTACATAATAGTAATAATGATAACTCTCGCAAAGAACATTTAGATAACTGATCATCTTTAGTCGAAAGTGACAAGAGTTTTATTCGAAAATGAAAAATTGTATGTAGTTACGTGACGTTTGACTGATACTTTCTGTCTGTCTACAATTGATTGATTCATGTCATTTGTGTAGCGTCCGTCTTAGTCCTGAATACATAATATTAATTAAACTGTAATACAACCACTGACTAGTCTGAATGACTTGACATCGCCTGGACTATGTTGAGATGTAAGGAGGTTGGATGTAGTCGATTGTAAGCACCGAGATTTGGTTCCATCGTATTTAACACTCGTCAGAACTGATGTTTTCTGGGGGACTCGATTCTGTCATCCAGCCTCAAATTCAGAGGCCACCACTGAGGTCACAAATGATCCATACGTAAGATGTGTTTATGAGCCTAGTCAATTCCGTTAAGGACGATCAGTTCCTTCAAAGATACATGTTCGCATAACAGACGAGTATCAAAATCATGAAAAATTACTGACCCATAATTTTCCGTTGACTACTTTCAAGCACATTACATTGTGTTCATTATTACTCATTGAAAAAGAAACTAGAAAGTCTTGAGTAAAATAGACATTATATTATGAGAGTTAAATCTTTGAATTTCTGGTTTGCAAATATAACCTTGTACTTTACTATTTATTATTAAGTTCAACCGAAACAAACAAGTTCAAACCAGTTACTTTTCACACATTAGATTATTTCTGAGATGGTGGAGAAAACTTGTAGCTCAGGTGGATGATTGTGGTGGTGTTTCGTTCTCTGAGCTGCTCATAGATTATTTCTGTTTTGGTGTTCTTGCGATCACAGACGTCTATTCATTTTTTCGATGAGATAACGTTTCCTGTTACAAGGCGAAAATTCAAATTCTTCTTTGAATTCGCTATCTTGGAGTTTTTAGAAATACTTACAATTAGTTTCAAATATCATGAATAATGTGTTTCTTCGATCTATGACCAAAATTTATAGCTAGATGACTCACTGCCATCTAAAATAAAACTTTCTCCAATCGATCACAACGAATTTTGAGTAGACTCACCTTGCGTGTAAGGATATGCAGTCACACTATAAGCTTTTCTAACAGATATTCTTTGGTGTTGGATAGGACCACTCAGCTCCACACATCAAGTTCAACATCTGCCTAACTTTGCTGACAGTACTGATTACTGCAGTTATTAAAGCGACCATAAGTTTTTGGTTACACTTTTTTATAGGCTTATGAGTTTTATATTGTGTCTTTGAAGTATTATTCGAGGGGGTTGTAACTTGTAAATGAGTATAGTATTTGAGTTCAGCACAGAATTCTAGACAAGTGGAGGTTATCAATTGATTTCTATTTACCTATCTTTCTTAAAATCTTTTATGAATCTTTGTCTACCTCTTTCCGATAAGCTTGCTAATTGAACGCTTGATTCAAACTAACGTCCTAACTGCTTTCTAGATTTCTCGAATATTGGTAGATTTAAGCACGGATCAGTAGAGAATGAGCGCAGTGTAAGAATAGGAGGTTTTTCTTCATATAATAAAACGGGTTTATTTTCCAAGTTTACGATTGTCCTTAACATTGTAATGATGTTCTTATTCGATGCTGATTGGGCGAGACACTTCCAGACTATTCTTGGTTTTCATAGGACTGTATCCAGAAATTTTCAGGGGCTCGCATCCTCTACATGATGCACTCTAATACAACTTTTTCCATGTGACCAAAATCTACTATCATTCTAGCTTTTTATTTCTATTCAAGGAAGGGTTAAATGTTGTTTTAACTAACTAGTCTCCAGTTGAACTGAAGCTCATTTATCAATTCACTTTAGTTTATACTTTGGGTGTTGACATTTAATCGGTTAGGGATTTGTACAGTCAATGAAAGCAAGTGTTTCAATTTTTAATCGTTTTCTCATCTTTCTGCACATCTATTTTTACCCTGCATAAATAATGAATCAGTTACTTCCATTTAATTTAAGAAGTCGTAGCCAATATTCGATCTTACTTACTAGTTTTACTCAGCCAATGCTAACACACAAGTATTTGCCAATTTTTGTGAACGATTTATTTATCTGAAGGTACAATGCAGTGTTTATTATTATTCCCTCTGAAAATAGTATGCACTAGACAGTATAAAATGCACACACCCATACACGCATACACACACATATATTTTCTCTAGTCACTTGTTTCCTAATTGATTTTTTCCGTCTTATTTTCTTTTAATCTTCGTAAAACTCATCTAAATTTCAACAACAATCCAAATAATACATTATGAATATATTATCATTGGTTTGTTGCTGCACATTACCTTACATTACATAATGTGGTCTACCTCCTGCTTTCTCATCTATGCCTTCATTGAATGACTCACGCATTCATTAAAATTCACTTTCTTTGGTTTCACCGCGTACTATTATCGTGGGTTATTATTATTGTTATTATTATTACTACTCATTACATTGCACAAAATGTTACACAAAAAAATATTTGCACAATTTTACGCTGTTATTTATCTTTCTACTGATATTTTCTTGTTGGAATCAATCAACAATGTTGAAATCGTTCGGAATTCATTCAAACAACAACAACAAAAAAATAAACAATATTTACTATCATGGTGTATGTCAATTCAGGGATACTTGTCGTCAACACTTAAACCGGCTGGAAAGAATGGAAAACTTACAGCAGTAAGTTGATATTTGTTAGTTGGATAAATTTGTACTCATTAATGTTTCAACTACTTAATAATTAGATTTAAATAATGCGGGTATATTTAATTTTGGAAGTTCTCAATTAAGTTTGTCATGTTCAATAACGTGAAGATTATTTTAAGATTAAGGTTTCTTCAATCGCAGCCTAAACGCTCATGGAATCACGGCCATTTAGTACTGGTATATGACTTATCAGTAGTGCGCATTCACGACTCCTGACACTCGCACGGTTCGAACCTCAGATCTTCGGTTATGTACGCGGAAGACTAACCCCTGGATCACTGAGCCGGTGGCATCCAACGGCATTAATGTCTAACTCTGATGAATCTTTGGATTTTATGCAACCTCACCCGTTGCTTACCGTATTTATTGACTCCACCCGACTATAATTTATCCTTACAGACAACATTTTAAGTTTCAATGAATTAGACGGCTTAACCGACAACGATTGATCATCTATGATTTTGATATAATGTGATGCCTATTAATCCAGGTTTTACCCCTGCGTTGATTCGAATAAGGGAACACAACAATATACAAACTTATTTTCATGTTTAAATACTCATATGTTGACAAACCAAACCAGGAATCATACTTCATACGAAATCAAGCCATGCATGAGAGAGAAAGAGAGAATGAGGCGAAAGGTGAACCAATTCATTATCAGTAATTAAGAAATAGTTAGACGTATAGTAATTTTTAGTGGGTCCAAAATATGGCCACCATTAGAATAATATATTTTATAATATAATTCAATTATTGAGTAATTATGTAATAAAATTAAACACAATGATAATCATGATAATTTGTAAAATAGTTCTAAAACTTATCGATTTCTCAGAATTTGCTCCGATCAGCCACTGTTGTTTAATACATTGAAATCATGAATGAATCATTGTTAGACTACCATTAGAAACCGGAAAGCAGTAGACGGCTGTTTCATCTTGCTAAGTGACTCATCAGCAGTGCGTAGTGCTCACTAGTGACTAACTTTGTGACGAAATTCTTGGAGTTCTATTGAAAATACCTGACAAGCGGAGTCGAACCCTGTCGGTTATAGGCAGTACCTACCGAAGGAAACGACTGAGGTTGCGCGAAATCCACAGATTGATCTGAGTTAGTCATTAACTCCCTTGGATGCCGACGGATCAGTGATCCAGAGGTTAGTCGTCTGCGTACATGACCGACAGTCTGGGGTTTGAATCCTGCAAGTGTCAGGAGTCATTTATGTGCACTGCTGATGAGTCCTATATCAGGACGAAACGGCTGTCCAGTGCTTCCATGTTTCTAATGGTGATTTAACAATGATTCATCATTATTTCAATGTGTAAAAACAACGATCTCCATTATACTATAATGTTTTTTGATAATTTCAAATCTGTGCTTATTCTGTAAAACCATTATTTCTAAATTTGCTTTAAGATTTAATTGTTATCAAGGGGGAAAATTCAAGTCAGTAAGATAGATCTTCAACTTATCATTGTTGAATATGAAATAATTATCTGTCATATCTTATACGTTGTTTTCTCCAAATAGTGGATGAGTTTGAAGAGATTATGATGTTAATTTCCATCTAACTTGTGTCAGCAATAAAAAAACGCTTAATTTCTTTTGAATCTACCATGTGTAAATGTCTATTAAATAATGTTCGGTCTTTTAGTTTACATCATGGACTAATCGTAGGTAGATAACCGTTGAAAACCAGAATACACTGAACAACTATTTTGTGTCATTATAGGACTTTTCAGAAGTTTGCACCCATGTCCTCACTGGAAATGGGACTTAGTACATTCAAGAATTGCGGTGCTCTCTTGTAATTTAGTCCATTGAGCAGGTATCTATTATTTACACTCCTAGTTTCAATCAATTTGTAATACTGTGCATTCGTCTTTCAGTGAAATTGGTCGGTAAAAGCATCGCACGTGACATAGCTGAACTTCACACCTGCAGGATTCTTGCGTATACTTTTGGAATCACCTTTGAAACTCATTCAGTAGTGAGGATTTGAATATTATGAGTACGAAGAACTAGTGGAGATTATTGAACTTTCGGTTCACATAAACTAACAGAAGTTAGAAATATCAACTATTGAATGCTGACTTATTGATCTAGCGATTAAGCACTTTCCTCAAGACCTCAAGAACATGGATTTTGTTCACGATGCGTTCAAAGATTCACACTCTTGATGAGTCCAGTACTAAGAACTAAACAACTATCCAGTGATCGCTCATTTTCAGCTGCTGTTGAACTAACAATACTCTACGGTGTAAACTACAACTGTCAAATATCTCCGCAAATCCCTTGTACTAATAAGTGTTAAAAAGAGTTTGTACAAATTCAACGATTCAAGATTTTCTTATCAAGTCATTTTTGTTCTGAATTCATTTGTTTATGCCATTATTATTATTATTATAAATTTTCAATCTTTTTTGTTTCTGATTTTTAGCCTGTAGGTTTTGTAACTTTTGAATCACGCGAACAAGCTGAAGAGGCAATGGCAAAACTTCAGGTAACAACTGTCTGATCAAATTATATAATTATCTATATCGTTTTGTTGTATCTATTAAAATACAACTTTGTAGCATAAAAAACTAGTTCATATTACTTATTAAGGCAGTTAATTGATTATCATCTTTCATGGTTGATAGAATAAATTAAGCAGAATTACAAATCGGTTATACACAGGAATGAATACAAGTGAGTATTCATTAGTGAAGTAGTCGAGTTAAAGATACAAAATTAAACTGGTGATTTTTCTACATATTTCATCAATAAACGTTTACACCGTAAAAAGAGAAGATGCAAGTATTTGTGAAAATAATCCTGTTGTATTTAGAACTTAGTTATATGTTTTTAGTATGGTATTTAAAGATATTCGTTCAGAATTACCAGTTAGCTGAATGAAATCTGACCAGACTTGTTAAATCCGAGCAATTCTAATGATAATCATAGAACAATCAGATGAATTGTACATAGCCAAGGGTGAAGTTGTTAACAATTACTAAGTAGGAAATTTTGATATTGTGCTAGAGGCACTAAACAATGATAGAATATTGGTTAATGATAGATATTCAGACTTCGCATCATAGAATTCAATTTCATTTCACTTGTTATGATGTTTAACATTCGGAGTTAAGTATGTAGCGGACATTGCACAAATATTCGGATGTTTATTGAACCAACTTATTAGTTGTTCAATTGCCATAAAGAAAAACTGAACTGTCTAACTAACTAAGAGTACATAAATAACCCTTAGTTCCTTAAAATAATCATTAGAATAGAAATAAAATCTGGATGTATCTGCATCTCAATGTTGACATTAAAACTAGGACTCTATTCCAGTACCTTGCTTCTCAAGTTCCAACACTTTCGCTCAGTCAGTGAATTCAAACAGCCACTAACCTGTGCATAGCATTTGAATTTTACTTGCAGTGGTTTGGATTTTTCTTTGTTGATATTCTGTAGTTAATCAATCTCGTTGGGCTTGAGTGTATCATGAGAGACTTGCTCATAACTAGATGACAATATCATCTTAACCTTGAAAGTTAATCTCGTCTACATGAAACAGCTTATATTAAATTATATGTAGCTCCTAAACGTCCTGGTACAGTCGAGGGTGAAGAGAGTCCCCTATCCTGCTTGAAATGCCCTCTAACCAGAGAAATCAAACTCATCGCCTTCTCGTGGCGTGGGCAATGTTTGCGAAACTGAGAGGATGAAAATCTACTATCCGGCACTTAAACCGGATTGATGGGTAGGGAGGATCCATCTAGGTAACTGGAAAATCCTGATCCCGAACTAATGATGCATATGACCTAAAGGACCCAAACGGAGATAATTGGTGAATGAACCTACTGTTCATCATCGGATACCGTGTGACCGAATCTCCTAAAGTTGCCTTACTTTTTTGTTGATCAGACCTCTGAATTTATGACTGAAGAAGTTGCTCCCTAAGTAAACATTTTGGTTCTTTTTGGGCACTCAAACAATATACATCCTATACACGAATTCAATGATTTGTTTAGTACAAACATGTTTTTGTTTCACTTTGTACTCACTTTAGTGTTTAAACAATAATGTAAATCTAATATCTGTTATCTCATACAGTCAAAAATATCAACCACTGAGATTTAAAAGTGAGTCGTCATATCTCAATGGATTGTTGATGCAAATCCAGGGTTGGCTGTTTTGTTAGCGCTCCATACGTGATCCACCTTATGGCATCGTGAACTACGGAATTATTATTACTTTTATTATTAAAGTTATAGGTTTTTGAATTTATCAATCTGTTGTATTTGATTCTCAATACTTCCTCTTTCGCCTGTTAGATCTTACGGCCGATTGTTTTCTGACTAACTCTGCCTCAGGCTCTGCTTTCCATGAGTTTTCAAATCCTATTCATTCTTTTGGTCATGATGTCTGCCTCTAATTCTCGGCTTAGCTGTGTCTTTTAGTTTGCCTATCTTCCTTTTATCTTTAGGTTTCTGAATTAGTACTCACTTTGTGATACACCAACTTATAATGTAACACCTACTTATAATTGGAACTTCTTTCTCATTCACCAAATTAAATAAAAGATAACCTTTTTACGTTTTTCGTTGAAAAAAAAACCAACGATTATTACGAGTAACTTCGGTTATTAAATTAGTAGTATTGTTTGTTCAATGTCTGATTACTTTATCGATTTTTTCACTTGGTTAGTCCATTGACACACGCATGCATGCATGCATAAAATACGATCATTATAGTCAATTAACATTGTATGTGCTTGTGTAATACGACCACTCTATATTACTACTACTCAGAAAATAAAAACGTTTATTGTATAAAATAAAAGACATGATGATTGTTAAAAATACGTTATGCAAATACACAAGTACACATGCTTGTACATGTGTACAAACCACTCATTGACCGACGACTATAAGAGTATGTAATGATCAACACACACGCACACACACTTGCACATGCAAGTACACGTATTTACACATTTAATTAAATATAACTCAGTGTTCTTGTTGATACGGTAACCTGATCTATTGATTTGGTCGTCATTTTTTTTCTCGTTCTCTTTGTTCTCTTCACTTTATGTGTTTCGCAATGAAGATTTTTACAATTGATTATTAATCCATTGGACTAGTGGACAGTGTCATGTGTTTCTAGTCTGTTTTGTGCTAATCGATTGGCATCGATGTGTGACGTAATCACCAGTGTTTGTGTTTTGTTGACTCAACATCGTGTAGACTATGTTTAAGTGTTAGATGGTTGGAAGTAGTTGAAACGAATTCCTGCTCGGTTTACATCTTTTACCATACAGCACTCATTTATCGGGAAGATTTACTTATAATTCGTGAGAAATTGATCATGTCTATGAAATTCGAATTCAAGTTATCCATCTTCACTGTTGGAAATGTTACCATTCAGCTATTTGGTCACTTGAACTTGATCGATAGAGCTAGACCAACAGTAAGGGATCTACTGTATGTAGCGCACCAATGTTTCATTCTAATGCATTTAATTGACACATCTTTGTCTAGTACAAAAACCGATAGTACAATGATGCGTCTTGTAACATTTTGAAATTGAATATTTTTAAAAAAAATGTTTTTTTACAATAAACTACAAATATTTCGACTAGAATATTATTATCTACTCGAAGAATTCATTTGTTTAAAGATTATTAGAATTGAACTGGCTAAAATTCAGTCAATACAAATATGTTCTATTGTATTGAAAAAAACTGATTCATGTACGCGATGTTAGGAACCTTTTCAATTGCTTTGAGTAATTTTAATATTTCAGGTTTTGAAGTATGTTCTTATATAAAGAAATTAGAATAGTTCTAGATGGCGATGATGGTGACGACCTCATTCATTAAAACATTAGAATCTTAGTTATAGTTAGTTAGCATATATAAATGTTTAGTAATGTATGATTTTGACTGATTTAATCTGAATTTAATTATGATACAATAACGATGAGCTTATTCCATATCGACTGCTTTATGGGTGTGTCATAATTGATTGCTAAACTCAGCCTTATTGGCCAGTCATTTTCACGGTAATCACATCCCAACCGTACGTTACTTTAACGCATAAAAATTAAAATCATAATGAATCCTACTAAAACATAGTTTATGCTTTACTGGAATCATAGCGCTTATTATAAACAGCGGTTGGTTTCTACTTAGAATATAAGAAGCGAATATAATTCAGTATGTACAAATGGATTATTTTTTCAAAAAAGATATGTAGCATCATATTGTGGTGGACCAAACAATATCTGTTAAATGTGATACACACAATAAAAATGTAAGGACTTTACTGTATACGGCTGCTTGTACGTGTTCGGTTGTGTTTGGTACCATAAATCTACAATTATAAAAATCCCAGCGACATAACTATCCGTAGAATAGCATATACATATGACTGCAGTCTATAAATGTAGACAGTATATGTATTAGAATCCAGTTAACGCATTAATGAACAATGGAGAACATGAGACATGTGTATAAAGTGTATTTGTTAGGAGAAGACAGTGAGTGTCATGCTATGTGTACAACAGAACGGAAACGTACAGTAGTCAAAGCGCCTGGTATCCCAGGACACACACTTAAAACAAAATGTACACCCATTTCATAGTAAATATGTACCGGCTGTAAAAATTAACAGAATAAATACAAATAGCATCAAAAACTATTTACAAAATAAGTTTGTCATACCAACTCCACAATATGGTACTTTCTTGTGAACTAGCATTGAAACATCATAATTATCTAAGACTTTCAGGATATTACCAACTTGTTATTTTTAACTCCAAAAAGAAACAAACTCTTGTTTTGTTACAGTTCGATTGAAACAGATTTAATCACGCGTTAACAATCAACATGAGTGAATAGATTGAAGTTAGACGTTAACACCGTTGAATGCTGACTCACAGGTCTAGAGGTTAAGGGTGTGAAGGTTCGAAGGTCTTGCATTCGATTCCTGAATGCAGAAGTCGTAGATGCGCACTGCCGATAAGTTCCATACTAGGACGAAACAGCCATCCAGTGCTTCCAGGTTTGTGATGGTGATCTAAAATTGATCGATTCATGATTTCAGTCGACGCGAGTATTTTGATTCATATTCAAAATAACGTCACAAACCAGCTGCGTGATAACACAACCAATCAGACAAAAATGAACATGAACCAAGAAAGACTATTCAGTTTTAGTCCTTAACATAACCTTGAATTTTCCCTGGAAATTTTAAGCTGTTTTGTGACCCATATTATCATTAATTTTCTTCTCTTCTTCATTTATAATTATCACTTTATGCTTATTTGAAGGCTTATTTAATTGGCCTTTATTAATTTCCACATAATATGCCCTGAAATGCTTGTGTGTGACTAGATTGTTCGAAATGGATAACGTCAGTACATTATATTTCTGAAATCAACTCGATTTTCTCATTGTTCTGTCAGAATTACTCACGAATTTAGTAGAAAAATACATTTTCGAGACAACGTATCTTTTGTTAAATAATCTTACAGCCTTGAGATAGTGTCGTTGTTGGTTTATTGCATATCACAGTTGGTAATAATAATGAGTTTGGCAGTCATGTAAGCGGAATGGTTCAAACTGGACTGCTCATGGTGTGCATATTGATTGATGACGTGATCACTATATATATGTACTAGTGTATATAAGTGGTGGGAGTGGTCAACCTGGGTGTCAGGCACCACAGGATTGAGCTGTACTGTTTACGTTGTAATTCTAACAAATGGGCAGTTTCTGGTTCTCCTGAGAACCAATGTAACACGTTACTTTTGCCAATTGAGGGCGTATTTATATAATTGTGAATGTAAATAATTAATTGCACTGTATCTCTTAGTTTATACATATATCGTTTATTTACACCTGAACTCAAAAATAATCATTCAATCGCTTAATCATGTGTAAGCAGTTTGTTGAAGACATTTTTCACTCATTATTAACAATTTAAGTACGGCTTCTACCTTCGAGAACAAAATTTTCAGATTTAAAATATCTCATCTGCATACTCCACCAGGTTTCGAAAGTTGGAGGAATTTGAATGAGCTTTTTAACACTCATGCCAATCATTCATTCATTATCTGAATGTCTGTTAGTGAAATGTCAACAAGTTTGCACTTTGACTATTTTCATCATAACAAGGGTTAATTAAAGGGGACTCCGACTAGAGCACTTCTAGAGTTACAGTCGGTCGCAGGCTAGGATAAATGAAGAGGGGCTGCCATGAAGATAGCGACCCCATTCTGTAGAAATTCAGCTTGCTAAGAAAGACTCTCAACAGAAAAAGCATTCACTGGTGGGAAGCTTAAGCTCCATTGGGAATAACAGGCATGGGTAAGTAAGTAAGTATTAATTAAACGGAAAATATGTAATTATGTTTGAAATAGGTTTTTTTTTGCATTTTAACTCATTCCATTTGATTTTTGAATTAATTAACAGTTTGTTATGAAAATAAACATTGCAATCTAACTATTTATTCAATGGTTTTTGTCAATATTGTTTTTGTAATTTTTAAATCTTAATTAATTAGGGTGTGAAATTCGACCCAGATGGCAATCAGCATATGCGTCTAGAATTTGCTCGCAGTAATACAAAAGTTACTAAACCGAAGACAACAATTCCTATTGGTTTCGGTGCTAATAATCATCCACATCAGAATGGTTTGAATCAGCATAATTCTTTGGCAAATCTAAGTCCTTGTCCAACAAATATCAGTGGTATGGTTGCTAATTTACAACCACCAATATTTGCTCAACTGGCAGCTACAGGATCCACTAGTATGTGCTTCTCTCTTTTTTTTATCTATTTACTCGAAAGGCACTCACTATTAATTAATAACTACAATTTATATGTTTCATTCATTAACAGTGGAAAGTATTTTATTTGTTAGGTTGATAGTTTTTATACCTTCTGATGCATATTGTTTCGTACTGAGGCAGTCAGTCAGCTACAACATAGAAGCGCATGATCGTAGTGTAATGTCAGTATATACACAAGAAGTACAAAGGTTAATGTGTACAACAAAATTACAAATAACCAAATATTCGGCAAAACATTTACTGGTACAATCGATGATAATAACGATTGTTGCTACTTAACCAATTGTGTTTTTTTTGTTCAATTGAAGTGACCACAAAGTCATGAGAGTAGACAAACAGCGAAGTCACCGGAGCCATTGCAAACGATTTTGAGCCATGTCGTTCAAAGTCGCTAACCATCGATCACTGTCATCTCACGGACCACAACCAGGTAGTCTACATCTACTAACATGTCTTAGTCCACTAGTCAGTGACTTCATGGATTTGTGCCATGTTTCAGTTTCGTACTACTGACGTTTCACTGGGTATTTCTAGTGTTTCTAAATTTGACACTAAATTTATAAATTGTTATATGGAAGCTACTTCATTTTAGTCATAAAAATTAGTCATTTTCGTTAATAACTGATAACTCATTCAGACCTGAATGATAACATCATGTAGAATGTACCGTAATTTTTTCGGATGATATTTTCAGTACATACTTCTTTAGGGTAAAACTGAAAAGCTATATCACACAAAACAAAATGATAGTATAAAAATGTAAGATGAGAAACATCACCAGTAATAATATTTGTACCAGATGATGCTAACTTCTTTCGGTTGGCGTGTTACTTACGAAATTTAGAGGAACTAAAGATAATATCCAATGCTTAAACTGGAATGATGGGTAAGGAGGATCGATCTAAGCAATTAGAGAATCCTGATTTCAAACCATTGGTGCACATGAACTCAAGGATCCTGAGGGGATAAATGGTTAATGAACTTACTGCTCGTCATCAGCTACCGTGTGACCGGATCTCTTAAAGTTGCCTCACTGTCTTGTTGATCAGACCTCTAAATATATGACTGGAGAAGTTGCTCCCTAAGAAAACATTTTATTTCTGTTTGGTCGCCCGTACAGTGCCCATCCTATACACAACTGTGACCTTTGTAACCAGTTCAATATTGGGTAACATATGACTTCAGCTTCAAAAGCAAACCTCACAAGTATGGCGATAGATCAGTCGGGATAAAATGTTATGTAACTTGGCGTTTGCACCTTGATTAGCGCCGTAATGATTAGTTTATCCAGTTAAATAGTCAACTATATTTTGGCATTGGGTAGTTGCAGGCAGCCTAGAAGTGAGTTTCACTCTAGTTGACTTTCATCGACAAGACATCTTATGATTTCGGAATAATTGGGTTTAAATTTGCTTTCGTTCATTTTCTCATATCTGATGCCAACATTATTATTCGGTAGGCATAGAGCATTTTCATTTTATTGCACTAATTCATTCTTTATTTTCAGTCGAGACATCCAATGGAATTTTTGCCACAGCAACAGATGCTTCTACAGCAATGGCAGCAGCTGCAGCCGCTGCAGCCGCTGCTCAATGGGCTACAATTCCTGGCTTACCATCACTTGCTACAGCCTATGATAATACAGCTTATTTGTCTTCAGCAGCAGGTTTAGTTCAAACAAATAATTTTCGTGTAAGTTTACTTACATCTCTCTTAATAAATCTTTACAATTTTGCTTTCATGAATGAAATGTTATATACTTGAAAATGATGAACAATGTCATTTGGTTACTGAATATTAGTAAGTAACATAAATGATACACAAAGAGGAATCGAATGTGAATTAGCAGTTATACCGTATTGAACAACTTTCTTCTTACAATTGATTATTCGACCTAATTAGAATTGTTTAAGTGTCTGATTTGATGGAGCTAAATCACGCATATATAACATATCAATATACAATTCAGTGTAAATACTTACTATAATTTATATGAACTGGCTATGGTGTAGAAAATTTCACATTTTATCTAAGTGCTTGATGGATGTAGAAATTCAAATTGATCACCGCTAACCCAGTTGATAAAACATGTTAAATCTGCATAAACGTGATGAAATATACAGTTTGAATCCAACGACTGTATGCTTTTCTAAACTTTGGTTTAATAAACATGTCTGTTTTTAGTTCATTTTGGTGGAACTGATGTGTTCAGATTTGTTTATCAGTTGAATTAGCATTGAAGCAAAGTGTTAAGAACATTGAACTGATATATTTTTCATTGAATAGTTATCAGAGAACTCCAAAAAAGACCAAGACTAGTGACCTCTAGTGCCTGAATATCGTGTTAAATTATCTCTTAAGTACATGTTGAAATGTTTACATGATGTCAGTCAATCAGTTAGTTACAATGTAGAACCTCATACATATGTATATCATTTCAAGTTGTCATACCACATTAGCATAGACATTCAATTGTCGATTCAAATCCCATAGTAGTAGAGGTTGCAGCAGTATTAGCCGTAATGGAAAAGGTTAGGGTTTGACGGAATTATTCAAGAAGTTAAATCCAGTGAAATACATCTAAAAAGAGAAAAACAGATCATCAGCTCATGGGGTTATAGATGTCCGAGTCGAAAGACCATGAACGTGACTATATACGAATTAAGTTTGGGTCCCAAACGTTATCCGAAAGAAGACGGGAAAGACCAAATGAAATTGGTGTATTTGCCGGCGATTTCGTGGTATCGAAGAAAATACCGAAACATGCCTCAGGATGAGTGCAGGTACAGAGCAAAAAAAACAAGACCTCATAGAGGAGAAGCACATGACCATAGTGTAATGTCAGTATATTTACAAAAAGTACGAATAAACAAATATTCCGTAAAACGTTCACTGGTACAATCGATTATAATAATGAATATTGCTATTTAATAAATGTTGTTTTTCTTCATACAAGTGAAATCGCTATAACGTCATGAGAGCAGATAATGAACGGATACGCCTGAGCCATTGTAAACCATTTCAAGCTATGTCATTCAAAGTATTTAAACCACGCGGCTATGATTATTTCGCGGACCACGACCAGCTGATGTACATCTAATTAAACGGCTCAGTCCAGTTGATATGGTGTAAGTGATAGCTCATCAATGTGTTCGTATCAGTAAAATCACAAATAAAAATACCATTTATCAAGTTTTCAACATATTCGCTATAAAATCATATGATTTGTTATTGAGAATTAAAATTCTAAGATATTATGTTTGACTAGTACTTTTTATAGACAAAAATATATCTTTCATTTTCTCAAGTACTTCAAGGATTAAAAAGTAAACTTTTCGTACATAGAGTAATGAATTAAATAAAAAAATATATAGTTTTTTGAATAACCTTCTTATTTAACTATTCACCTATCTACTTGATAGACCTTAGTCCCTGGCAATATGAACACTGGTACTTATGGTGTACAAACTGGCGCCAGTCCATCATCCATTCCCAGTCTACAAATGGTTCAAGCTGCAATTGCTCATGCTAATGCAGCTGCAGCTTTATGCTCTGCCAATGCATCTTCTATCGGTAGTGGTACAGTGTGTTCACCTTCTACATTGGCCAATTTATCACAACACAACAATAATACACAAGTATCATTTTGTAATACAGGCACATCGAATTCGTCTAGTCCTAATAGTGGGACAGTATCATCTCCAGCTACTGTTTCTGCATTGCCACATAGTACAAATTCTCATTTAAGAAATAATTTCTTCCCTAATCATCAGTCAAATGCATCGAATGTTGCTTCTTTTATGGCACAATTACAACAACAACAACATCAGCAGCAGCAACAACAACAACAACAGGTTGGTTGACATAAAATATGACTAATTTAGATTAGATTTACACTGGTTATTCATTTGTTTGTATCATGTAAACATATTCATGAATTATAAAAATGAATTATGACAACTACTAATAAACTAGATTTCGGATGTTATACACTTTTTGACATTCTTTTCACCACGTTATTTCGTTCTAGTAAGCAATAATAGAAACAATTTTCAGAAAAAGCTGCTACTTGTAGTATTTGTAGGTATAAATTATGCATTTCTATGCTTTTCAGTTTAAGTATCTATCTCTCTGGTCAACATGCTTACGATATAATTTTTAGATAGAAGTCGGTGATATTTTCAATATTATTAACTATTTATATTGACTCATAGTACTACTTGGGACTTGTCATCTAAATTTATTTTCATTCTAATTTTGATGTTAACCATGTTGATCGAACCCGGTGCTAATCATTTTAAAACATCAATTCATTCTGAGTATGCTATTTGACACTGTTCCCCTGAAATTAACTTTGTTTCACATACATACTATATTATAATATAATATGCATATCTGAATTTCAGCCACTCAGTCAGCTACAACGTTGAACTTTGTACATACGTATAACAGTTCAAGTTGCCGTACCACCTTAGCATACAGATATCGAATTGCCGATTGAAATCCCATTAGGAGTAGAGGTGGTAGAAGTATTAGCGGTGATCAGACTGATCAAGAATCGAAGATATGATTCAAGAAGTATATCCCAGTTAAATCCATTTGGAAAAGGAGAAATATAAAGGTTTTGAAGAATTCAAATGATTAGGATTTGCGAGAAGACAAAGAATGGATGCATCTGAGCCATTGCAAGCGACTACGAGCCATGGCCTTCAAGCTCTCTAACCATCGATTACTAACCTAGAAATTCAACAAGATATGATGATGAATGCAATGGAAGTTTATCATTATTAACACACACACACACGATGCCATTGATTGATAATGATCATTAATTGGATTGTTTTCATTATTTTCTTTCTGTATTTAACAGACACTGGCCGCTGTTCATCATCTCAATCAACATGCCAATGTGAATACACCGAATTCTCCATTAAATTTTGCTAATGTTGTTTCAGCTACAGTTGCTGGTCTACCGCCTCAAATGGCTGCTGCAGCTATTGGTCTTTTAGGTGGATATAATTCTATTATAAAAGAATTAACAGGAAGTGAAGGTCAACTTCATCAACCTGGTCTATCACCATATCAACAAAATGTAAGTAATTCTACAAATAGGCAAATATTTTCTCATAATTAAGCATAAATCATTGATAACTTTCTTACTTACGGTTGTCTCTTATTTCTTATCTTATCTACCTGGAGCCCCTCTGAGGTTACTGCCAGTCTCAAGCCCCGATAAAAGAGGAGGGTTGGGCTTGGAGCTAGTTACAGCGCCCCGCAGAAAACTAACTCGCTCGAAAAAACACTACACAGAAGTTTGTTTATTATAATTGTTAAGAGAGCATAATTACGATATAGAATGTAATAATTGTTATTAGACTTAATGTAAATACTTGGGAAATACTGTGTAATAACTAAGCACATTGAAATGCCAAATATTTGAAAATGATTCATAATGATAATAGTTATTGAATATTAGTACGAAACATAAATGTTGCACAGAGGGATCAAATGGAAAGATGATAATAGGCAATTTGAGTTTTTGTCAGGACGGACGTAAAATGGCTCGCACTAATTTTATATGTTTATTGATGCTATAATCATAAATTCAGGATAATATCAGAGATACAAGGGGTTTATAAATATGATATCAAGGTAATTATTCTTGTCAGCCTAATCTCTGTTCTTTAACTGAATCAGTTTTAGCAAATACACTTCTCTGATGTAATTTTGAACTCCATTTTTAACGCAAAAGCAAAATGTCATATTTTATAACGTTTGAATACAATATAAACTACACCATGTAGCTCTTCTTAGTAAAATGAACAATGGTTGTTACTCAATACCAGCACAATTTGGATCTCGAAAACCATCATTCGAATATAAAAGAGAGAGAACTAGTTCTCCTAATAATAAATATGCGGCTTATTAACATGAAATTTAAGTTCAGGGTTTTTAATGTTGATTATCTGATAAATACTCTGAATTATGAAATACTGCCCCTGAATCAGTAGGTATCAAGATTTAAAAGTGGTCAATTAAAAAGGTAGGTAATTTTCTGTAATGCTAAATTAGTAAATGGATTTAGGTCTCCCGTCAGAACGATCATGTCCTTTGTTGGGCATTTCTCAACAACTAACTGCGGCATCTCGTAAAATTGATCTTTAACGTCTTCATTATACTCTTTAGTAGGCGCTCTTTCTTTGTTTTGAAGCATGCTTTGATGATCTTGGATTCATGAGATTCCCATCCTATCCGCGCACTTTGTGCTTGTTTGTGTAGCATCAATACAATTCCTTTTGTAGGTAGAGCACTTTCTCTTTTGTGACGGGAGTATAACAGAAGCTCTCGTGAAGCTAGTCTCACTTGTCCAATCTGCATCCAATGTGTTTCACCGATTTCCAGTACTTTCAGGTTGAATCTTTTCATTTATGCAGTAACTTGGATGACTGTTCCGGTCTCCAACGTTGTACGAACATTCCAGATACTTAAATTAGTGGTTGCTTTGGTTGTGGATTCGTCCTCTCGACTTCTGAACGAACTGGACGTTCATAATAAAACGTAATTACTCTTCTGAATATAGACCTTCTAAATCCTAGGGCAGAGTGGAAATGATTTAGATTATTTTTTCTGGTTAGTATTTTTTTTAACGAGTTAGTTTTCTACGGGATGTGGTCACTAACCTCAGGCCCAACCCGCCTCCTTTATTTGCGCTTGGGACAGACAGTAACCCTAGAGTGGCACTATGGTATTTGTATTAGTAAACGACAAGTTAGATAATGTTTAGATAGTGTTCAATGAAATAAACCTGGCCACATATGTATCACTATCTTTTAAGATGTTGTATAAATAGTGCGAAGTAGTCGATATATTCTAACCAATCAGCTCTATGAATTTTAACACGACATTTTCATAAAATGGATAAGGTTTTATTTTATTGCTAATGACGAAAATATTTCCATTATTTAGCCAACAATTTTCTCTGATTTTAGGTTAATTTTTGAAATCAAATTAATTAATTTATTCAAAATGATGAATTATTATTATTTGGCAGCTCAAACTATTTTTTCGGCTGTCATCCGACGTCACAACAATAACAGTACCGACATAAGAGATGAATTTCACATGTCCTTAATATCTATATATACATATATATATTTATCAAAACTATACATATCATGATTATATTTTTGCCAATAATCAGTAACATACATATTCTCATTTTGATGGCTGTGCAACATAAAATGTATAACAAGTTAACTCTCTCTCTCTCCCTTCCTCTCATCTACATACATATCGAACAATTTGTATTTTTATTTACATAATATAAACACATAGACTCTGTTTAAACAATAACACTAATATTGTTTTCTATCTCGACTATTGTTCACATATTTTCATTGTAAAGAAAGTTCAGCACTAAGATTTACAAACTCTGAGCAAAAATTAATCGTGTGTTGTATTTTGTCTATGCAGTAGTAGATGGTAATATTAACATCCTTTTCATGTTTTTTGTGTTCATGTGTACAAGTAAAGAAGCCAGTAAGTAAGTGTAGTACGTTTTTTTAAAAGACTAACTAACAAGAAAACCGTAAACATATCAGCATACACACTTACAGAGAAAAGAGAAAAAAAAACATTTGAGTAATTTTGAATTTTTATCATTTCTTTAACTTTTTGATTTTATTTACTGTGGAATTAAAATCAAAATTTTCTATTTTCTATTGTTTCATGGACATTAATTTTCATGAATTTTATTCTGTGTGTGTGTATTGTGGGGATTTTGTTTTTAACGAAGCGACAAAAAATTATTTTATTTTATTTTCCAAAAATTCTTATTAGTCTATGAATCGCATATCATTTTATGCTATTTTTTACAACTTGATTTAAGTGTACTTCTATGGGTTTTTTTTCCGGCTTTATTGCTGTTCTGGTCTCTCTCCCTCTATATATATATACATAAGGTTTAGGTAGATAAACAAGCATTTCGTTGTCGTTTGCAAATTACTCTCTCTCTTTCTCTCTGTTACCTAACATAATATGTGCTTTGTGTCTTGTTGGAGAGAAGTGGTTCCTTTTCTTTTTTTTTCATTCTTAAACTTCAAGAAAAAAGGTGTGGTCTCATTGTAAAATTTTCTCTCATGTTTAATTGATTGATGAATGAATTTCAGCATTTTGTCTCTCTTTTTTTTAATACTTGGAATGGTCAATTATGTCTTCTCATCTATACATATATATATATATATTATTTTATCTATGCTGTTTTCTCCCTTTTATCGATCAACTGAACGAAACAAGGGTTAGTATTTACTTGGTGGTTGTGTTAACACAAGGGAGTCATGACTAGTGGCGATTAGATATGTCATATGTAAGGCAGCTGTTACTTACCAATGCCATAGGTGTCCAATATTGCTAAATGATTGAGTCAGTGAGTGATTTAGAGATTAAGCACTCGCAGCGATACCGAAGTTTCGGAGTAAACGTAGTGGTGAGGAGTTCTGTAGTTGGATAAAACAGTTATCCGATGATTCATGGTTTTCACTAGTTATCTTTTTAATAACATTAGTCTATGATGTCAGTTAGTAAATTCGAAAATATCCACAATCCCTTTATACTCATCGAATGTCACTCGCATGCTTATCTCGTAAATATTAGTTTTTATTTTTGAAAGAAAATATCCAATCAATGACTGATTTTAGTGTAAATAATGAATCTACAGTTCCATTTTACTTCAAAATACGCGACCAACTTGAACATTGCGATATAATAGTTACACACAGTTCCAATTCATTAACATACATAATTAATTTTATTGTAAAGGTCAAATTATTGAAAGTTAAAAACTGTACACTTTCTACATAAATATTCCATAAGTAAGTTTCTTGCTTCTTGAAAAGTGATCATTAAATTTAAGATGTTATTTAAAGTTTCATGTGATATCACTTTTTATATTATCTTCTTAAAAAACAGTACTTCAGTTTTACTTGGTATAAGTGAAGAATTACAATACATGAACTTAACAATTGATTTTACAGTTAAACGTCTTACTAAATGAATTGTAAGGTGACTGAATTGCTACAACGTTGACTTCCAGCTAATATTATATTAATCAAACAATGAACTGAATATTTCTAAAGATGAAAACAAGGTGAGCAAATTAATTCTTTCTGTTAAGCACAAAATACGTATAGGCTTTAATTAGTACATCGATTGAATGTTGGGTAAATACAGGCTGATATGTACTTCTTATTGGCTCAAGAAAAATCTACAGTTTTAACTGAAAGAGTCTGAAACTATTTCACATGAGTATGTGAAAAAATCCTTAAAATTACACTATCTACAAGGACTTCACTACTTTTCAGTCGTCTTCATCCAACCTAGTGTTAGAGGAAGGAGTCTGTTGTTCTTTACTTGGCCAAATTTATTTAGGGAAAATAGATCATCAAATGTTTTATATAGTTTGTAGTAAACTGCGATATTGCTTAAAGTAGTGGAGCTTTGCCACGATAACCACTATTGGATCAGATCAGTATGCAGCAACGCTTAAGCAAATACTCAACCACTAAAAAACAAACGATTGCTATGACTAACTCTTAGAATCTTGTCAGTTAAAATAGATTTATGTAAGTTTACAGGCTTATTAAGTGTTTATCAACATTTGTCTATGAAAAATACTTTGGATACCGTCAGCAACAACCTACTATGTAAGAGGAGGATGAAGTCAGGAACAAGCTTCGGAGTTGGATAGGATACATATTGAGGAAAGAACCTAACTAAATCACAAGAGAAGCCCTCACTTGGAATCCCCAGGACCAAAGGAGAAGAGTAAGATCAACGATCACATTACACTGAGTATTGGAAACAGACATGAAACGAATTAACAACAGTTGGATAGAACTAGAAAAGAAGGCGCATGACACAGTAGGTTGCAGAACGGTGGTTGGTGGCCTATAGTCCACTTGGGGTAACAGGCGTAAGTAAGTAAGTAATAGGTTACATCATTAAAACGACGCAGGTCTAATAAACTACTTTTTCACTACTATAGTTCATAACATTCATGTGTAATTAAAATAATTATATTTTTGATTAAAAAAACTGTGATGATGAATTCTTTTTAAGTATAAAAAAAAACAATTACATCAGTGTATTATTTTGTTCATGTTGAACTAATTGAATACTTTGATGAAATTGAAATTTATACAAATTTATTTGCATTTTTTCGTTTATTTTTCTTCTGTAAAATGAGATCGGAAATAAAAAGAAGAAAGACAAATGAGAATTCGACACACTGAAAAAAATTGTTAAAAACTATCATTTTTTCATAATAACCTTCACAATAAACAGAAATTTTTAAAATTGTTGATCAACCAACTTATTAATTTTCAATAGAAATTAATTGAGAATTTTATTTTAAACAAAGATGAAAATTAAAACGTTGGATCGATTTCTACAATGAATAGAACTTAATCAGGATATATTTCAGAGGATAATGTTATTGAAGTGATCTGTTTTGTTGCTGAACCAGATCAAACTTTATTTGAGGACGGATGCAGATTACATTAACCGAAATCAATTGTATGGAATGATAGGTAATCAGGCTTAAATGTAGAATAAACTATTGGACCACAGAACTGGTGTGAGATTCTTTCTGAGGATTGATATAGTAAGTAAGTAAGATGAAATCAAACTTTTTGAAGAGATCTATAAACATTTGTCTATTGATATAAAACTCATTTTGGACATATCTTTTAAACTAGAATCATAATTTACAAGTTCTAATTTTGCTTAAGATGGTAGCTTAGTATTGAAACTGAAAAATGCCTCAAATGTTTTATTAAATTTTCAAAGATAGGTTTCAATGGCTTATCGTCTGCCCATTTACTATATTTAAGAGCATTATAAAAAATATACATTGAGAAGACTCATGTAAGAGAGGTGAAACTAACAAGAACATCATACTAATTCTAATGTAACTCATTCAAATAGCTGACAATGAGTTGGACACTTTTGAAATTTGTGTAAGGGTTTCAAGTGTTCCCGAAAAATTACTATTCTTTTGAATCCTGAAAACCATATGTAACAACTGGAATTACATACTCCATCCGAATTTCAAATTTTTCCCATAAAGTTAATTGAGTGTGGAACATTATTCTCGCCAGTAACAAAATTTTTCCATATATTTAGTGATAAATTCTGAGATAAATCACTGTCACTTGATTTATGAGCAAGTCGCTTTTCGAAATAGTTCTAGTTATCAAGGCATTAGGGGAAGTAGTATATGAGTCAGGTTGTACTGTGTACTAAAATGAAATGGAAAAATTCATATTTCTAATCTAATTTCTAGATATTAAAAGCTTCGAGTGATTGCCTCTATTTGAATTGATTAGACATGATTGAGATTATATGAATAAACACACAAAATATGTATTGAAATTCTATACACTTGTCTACAATAAACAAATTGAATCACTTTCATTATTTTAGCCGATTACATTAATCTATGCAAAAAGGTTAATTTTAGAAAATTCAGCTTCTTTGATTAGCTAAAAAAGGAACATACTTTTGATCTTGTATACAAACATAACCATAGGGCACATGTTAGTGTTAGAAAAATGACTGCTAATACAGTTGGCATTAAAATGAATGAGTATAAAGGAAGACTGATACTATTGCTATCTAGATTACGACTATTATTTGAGATAAATGATGAAAGTTGATTAGTTGCAAATCGACTTTTCATAGCTTTTGAGTTCAATGAATAATCTGTAGTTAATAAGTCAGTTGTTGTACGATTGATGTTGTTGTTATACGGTTGTTCTACAGTTGTTGTTGTTGTTGTACGATCTGTAAGATTGTAATTCAGAAAAGTGTCCGAATACTGATTAGTGGTCCATATGCTGTTGTTCAACTCATAATCTTGTGTGTACACTGAAGTGGTCGACTCTTGACAATTTGTAGTATTCTAAAAAATTAAACACAAGCGAATTGTTATCATTGGATATGGTATGGAACTTTTGATACTCATTCTTTATATCATACGATTACTCTTACTGAATGAAATCAAGTAAAAATGGTACGTAGTTCACAAAGATAAACTTTATCTATTGTATTACGACTTTATACTGCATAGTTCTTGTTAGATCCATTTACAGAATGCATAAAATGTTTTAACTGTTTTAAAATGTCAATCTTTTGTAAGCGAATAGCTACTAACTGATAAATAAGCAGGAAGTATGTGCTCCCATTGGAATGATTATAAGGTTAAAAGGTGTAGGTGCTTTCTTATTAGTTATAATTTTAACTATAAGCAACAGTATATAATTTGATTGATAAACTTTGTGAACAGCTGAATAAAACTTTTGAAGAAAAAACCGTAATTCATTCTGGGATTCTGTTTTCTTGTATACCATTAAGAATTGTTAAAATATATTTGCCAAAGTACCGACAAATTGAGGTCTTCCCCAATAGCAATTCAAAAATCTATCACAAATCTCCTGTAAGTTGATATTCATTGATTCAGTGATGAAACACTGGCAACCTAATGATTTTTTGCATAATTTATTTTACACTATAGAACTGTATTCATTTCCTTGGATTGTATAACAATTTCCAAGTCCTATTTTTATTTAAATCACTCGATAGTTAAGTAGATTTATAAGGACAAATACTAAAACGTTTATGAAAATGTAGCAAATTTCTCAATTTCTTACTTTAATATAACAGCTTTTTAACATCCATAATGGTCTGTGAATATCATATCCATGACTACATCTATTGATAATTGGACACCAGTAACATTTTGCATTTAAAGATGAAGCATTCATACATGTCTCACAAAGTTTTTGTTCTGAACAAACTTTCAGAGAAAGAGAGAACAGAATAATCAGATATTAATTGAATTGTTGAAAAAAAGTATAAACAAATTAATATTGATAAACTTGGTACTATCTTCTGTTTATCTTGTATTTACTTAACTAATGAATGCATTCACTTCTAAGAGAAATAGGATTTGTGTTCATCAATTTGTAGCGCATTCGTTTTATAATGCTCAATATATAAGCTAAGAATAGATTTTTTCCGAAATTTTCCTAAACACATTGAATGAATACTGTAAATAATAGCCTACTTCTCACTACGGATTAAATTTCGAGCTATAACATACACTTCCTTGGATCTCTTCATACCGCAAGTTGGAATGCTTCACAGTGAAATGTGTGGCTGTGTTAGATTCAGTGTACGGCTCAGCATTTTAGTGGCCCGCAATATGACTCCATATTTATAAGCAGCTATACGTGTTATCAAATAAATCTTCCCTTCAGTCTCCGCATATCATACTTAGGCGATCCCCATTTGTGCGACGGCGTAATAAGAAGCCAAAAACGGTTAGGCCGATAGACGAGAATGAAAAGGATAAAAGCAGAGCAAAGTGAAGTGGAGAAAGCCGGCAAGCCAACTCCATGTAATGAGATATGACTAAGCATTCATAGTCAGATAAGAGTAAGCCAGAAATGTGGTATGTGAAGTAAGAGGTGCACACACCTACTGGAATAAAATCAACCAACCTTGTCGAACGTCTTCAGTAGTTACTGTCTACACCGAGCAGGTTGAACTTCACTGGTCACGACTTCCCACTAGAACTCGGAGAAGATTCCTCACGGAGCAAGTCACTAGTGAGCACAACTCCATGAATCGATCGAAGTTAGACATTAACAGCGTTAGATACCGACTCAGTTGTTCAGAGGTTTGGTGTTCGTGCGCAAGACCGAACGTCCTGGGTTCGAACCCTGCAAAGTGCAGAAGCTGTGGATGCGCACTTCTGATGAGTCTCGTACCAGGACGATACGGCGGTCCAGTGCCTCCAGGTTTCTAATGGTGGTCTAACAATGATCGATACATAATTTCAAATGTGTAACTTAACAATTTTCATAACCCCGTAATATAATTATTTTCATTGAAAGCTTCAATTTATTTACTTGTATTTGGAGTGAATTCAACCAACGTTCCAGATCTTATCATATTTTCAGGGGTTTTAATCTTGCTGTACGACGTTTTAATGATATATAGTCCACCTATTAGAAAAGAAATACAAGATTTCCGGTAAAATAATCAATCTACGTTATAAACAATAAAAATATACTCAGTAATAACTTTTAAAAAATGTTTTATTTTGATAGATTTTAAGAAAAAAAATGCAGATGGAATTTTTCATATGCTGTATAGAATTTCAAACTCTTCATGGTGTTTAGTGTCAAGCTGCCATGGTTCCCTTGTAGTCTTAATTTATAAAAAACGCACGTGCTTGAATGCAATCGTTATTTTTCAGTGTTTTAGAACCTACATTCAATTTTAAAGTTTTTTTGAACGTTTGGTTAGTCAAACTACTTGGCAAACTCGAAAAATATCGTTAGTAATAAGAATTATTCTATATTACACTAACGTAACTTAAACTGAAATTTAATTGAACTACTAAATTAATTGGAAATATTGGTTTATGCCTTAAATAATGGCTTGAATTAGTTTTCTGGTTAGCGTATTTTTAGCGAGTTAGTTTTCCACGGGATGCAGCCTCCAAACGCACGCCTAACTCTTCTCCTTTATCTGGGCTACAGCCCGGCAGTAGCCCTAGAGAGGCTCCAGGTGGAGTTTATAATTAGACTGCATCTCCGCAGGTAGTAGGAGACTACCAAGTTAGGAATAGTCTACCAGGACACAGCAGGTTGGAGAATGCTGGTCGGTGGCCTATGCTCCATTGGGGATAATAGGCGTAAGTAAGTAAGACTTAAATTATGACTTTTTGCATTATGAGTAGATTAATTTAAGTTATTTTAAATAAACCATGTCTTTTTTCTCACTTGCATTAGATGTAGCATAGTCATAACCATCTGAAATGGTTAATATGGCGGCATTCTTACCGAATTCTGTTGGTATCTGAATTAGAAAACAAGAAACAATGAATTAAACAATGAAGCTTAGTTGACGCATTACTTTCATTGGGTTTTACAAATAAATCTATCAGCATTAAAGTAACTAGAAGTAGCTGTGACTAGAGAATCAAGAGAGACCATTCAATCTGTCATAGACATAAAGGCTGTCAGTAAATTCTTTATTTGACATGGCTACAATCAAATGATTTGCTAACATTAAGCTAGAAGTAATCTAAACTGCTTAGAGCAGTTTATTTCAAAAATTATCTTTTCAGATGGTGGTAAAAATTTGCAGCCCAGGTGGATGGAGTTTTGGTCTCTGAGCTGGATGTTTTTTATGTACGTGACTTGATATGCCTGAAGCTATTCGGGGTTCACCTTAATCGATAAACGAGAACGAGACAATGAACCAGTGACCGGGTAGGCTATTCTGATCCGTTGACACAAATGAACTAACGAAAAAGTCTTAATATAGCGTAGAAGGGTATTCTGTAAACACCCAGCAAGCACAGTGACCTCAGGCACACAAATCACGCTCATTTACACATACTAGAAACGTCCTTGCTAGAGTCACAAAAATAGCACACCAAAATGATAGAGCGACCGAGGCCGAGGATTTTCCTGGTGGGAAATGTGGTCTCAAGGTCAGCCCATGAATAAAATTCAAAATTAGGACCTTTATCAAGCGAGTTCTGGGGATCTAACGTCCCCATAAATGTTATGGTTGTGGGGCTTTCATCGCTGTTCCTGTGAACGACATCATCAGCACAAATGTCAGATGGAGAAGTGCAGGTGCGGCGAACAACAAATGTTTGAGGTAAATTACAACCAATTAAGATAGATTTTAAGCAAGCTAAGAGTCGTACGTGGAGAAATTAGGACACTTCACGTCTTCTACCTGAAATTTATTCTGATGTTTTTGTTCAAGCGAACAACATCCAGATCAGGGAACAAAACTCCTTAACAATGATTAAGCTTATATGTTTTTAATTACTAGTTATGAATGATTCGTTTTATCGTATTTTAATATCGACTTCATGTTGACTAAATAATTGCCACTGTATATTATACAGTTTGTAAATTGTGATTAGCTAAAAATTCGTTTTCAACAGAGCAAAAACAGGGATTCGTGCAGAATAAGACAAAATTCATTTTTTATTTCAACAGGATGTCATCAGATGTTTACAGCCTATGATAGAAGTCGATAGAATTATAATTAGGAAGATGATTGGAGATAGATATATACACCACCAAGTGAGAGGAAAAGTCCTAGAACATCAAACTAGTGATTAGAAATCAAAGAGTTAACAGACCTTAGATGCGAACTCAGTGGTTTTTAGGTTAGGCGTTCGCGCGCGAGACCCTAATGTTTGGATGTGGATGCAGACAGTTGATATGTCACATACTAGGGCGAAGCAGCCGTTCAATACTTTCCGGTTTGTAGTGATGGTTTAAGATCTTTCGATTCATAATATCAATGAAACTTTAGATGGTTATGTACTCAACTAACCAAGGTATTAAAGAATAATATAAGTTGAATTCACTCAATTAGAATCAAAGTTGTGAAATCAAGGTAAATAAAAATGATATAATCAAAGCATGCGAAAGAGTTGACTGTTATGCTCGTGAATTGATATGCTGTACACTATTACGAGTTCACCTTACTCGGTAAACGGAGAGCAAACAAATGATGCAGTGACACTATAGGCTATTCTAGTCCGATTGTTCCTGGCCCTGCTAACTAGAGCAAGAAGTCTTGATAAGGCGTAGAGATCGAACTCTTCAGGCACTCAGAAAGACTGAGGTTACTGAGCAATCAAATCAGGCTTATTTATACAGTGATAGCAACAAAGCTTTTGGGAGAGCTATAAGATATAATAATCGATCAACCAATGACAGCTAAGGATTTGCCGAGTGGGAAATGTAAGCTGAAGGTCGACTAAGTGTCTTATGCGTGTAAAGGCAAAACAAATCAAAATTTCAGAAATAAACTACAAAATTTGAACCTATTCCATGTGAGTTCTGGGGATCTGACGTCCCCAACATTGACATAAAGAATGATTCAATAGGTAAATAAATAATATGTAAAATTGTTATTTAACTTTGCGTAAAATGCTGTTCCAATCATTATTTACATATTAAGCTAAATAATTGGTCTTCTCATATTTTGTGTATATAATCACGTGAGTATGAATAATTAAAGAAGAGCTCAATTACCTATCCGCCTCTCAAGGATTCAACATTTTTCATAATTTATGTCATGTAAATAAAGTTTATGAATTAAATTTGAAAACATAGTTATAGTGTAATTTTTCCAAAAACATTTTTATAGCTTCTATTACATTTATTCCCACTGTTCTTTGGTCTCACCCTGAACACATCTGATAAAACAATGGAGATATAACGTCTAATCAAGGTGGAATTATTTTTTGTATCAGAAGTAGGTCACTGACTCGATTTATTTAGCAAGAAAACATCATACACAAATGGTATCAACCGGAAAAGAGTTTCAAGAAACCAAAGGATTCTATTTAAATTGACAGCAACAGCGAATCCATAAAATTTCGTCTAATTCAATTTGTAGTTCCACAGTTTACATCATAGATCGATCATGGTTAGAAAACCTCTGAAAACTTGGAATCACTATGCAGCTGATTCACCTTATCATGGAACTCTCACCAGAACTACGGGAATAAGGTTTCGAAATTAGCCACTAATAACATCATTATGACTACTAAGAAGAATGACTTGTGGATACTGTTGAAACTTGAAGTGTATATAATGAACTGATGAAATATAGGAATTTGAACCATTGGGTGAGACTGAGTGGCCCTTCCTACCGGACCTAAATGTCTTGGTCTTGATCTCTGGCGCAGTTGTCAATGTGCACTTTTAGGGAGTCTTATTCTAAAAAAAAACTAGCTGGACATTGCTACCAGGATTTTATTGGTTGTATAACTTTGCTGAATTCGTTAAAAGAACCTTAAAATTCAACAGTTTTTGACAAACTTTTAATGACTATCACATACTTCTTACCAACCTGAATAAAGTATAGTTTTCGATTACTAGTTTAGGTGTAACATTTGTAATATGTGACCACTGCATCTGGATTTAGGTACCAGGATGACAGTATTTTACTAACCTACGAACATTTTTACCCTTTCATATTAATGTTACAACCCTCATAGTCTAACATGATTCTCTCTCAAAATATGAGACAAAACACGACTCATGTATGCCTGCCGAAAACCCAAGACATTTTTCAAGGTATTCTTAGCTAAAGCAGTGTTAAAATATTCTGAAAGTGCAGTAGAAATTCTCATGATCATGAAACTGGCATTAGTTCACTCTTTGGGATTCATGGTTTAATTTGGGCTATTTATTTACCCATCTTAGAGGAGAAATCAATTGATGTAGCTCTTTTTTCACATTCCGATAAATGAAAAAAATGACCAAAGCCAGCGATCTATAAGCGATCAATATGTACTTACTCATTGATAAGAAATCTACTTTATTTTCTACTGATTAACAACACTATACCACTACGAATTTGGCTATTGATAAATAATTTCTGTTTGTTTTTTAGTGAAAAGCACTTTAAACATAAACTAATTAGATTGAACAAAACATTTTGCACAACCTACCAAATTGAAATAAAAATGGCGGATAATTATTTGATTCAATAAATAAATCACAATTTAGTCAATTCACTGTTCGTGTTTATTGCAATAAATTTCTATGTGTAATAAATTAGATTTTGATTTGAGTCTAAGCTAAATTTTGAAAAATAATATTTTTATATGATTGACGCCATTTGAAAATAAGAATATAATCATGAAAACAACTTGTACAGTATTTAAAACCAGGTTGTCTGCCAGTACGTATTTATGAATGTATTGAATGATATTTTCAAACTGGTTAGTGATCGAGAACAAGAGACAATGTTTATTACTGAAATCATGAATTAATCATTGTTAGACTACCACTAGATACCTGGAAGCATTGGACGGCCGTTTCATCCTAGAATGAGATTCTTCAGCAGTGCGCATTTACGACTCCTGCTACTCGCAGGATTCGAATCAAGGACATTTGGTCCTGTGCGTGAACGCCTAACCTCTGGACCACTGAGCCGGCATCCGACGGTGTACGTATCTAGCTCTGATGAATCTAGGAATTTCGGGGAAACTCACGCATTTGTCTTCGTCAGTTACTGTCAGAAAATGTTTGTCTGATTTCGGAACTTCTCATCAAATCTATCTTGCAATGTTGACTGGTCGATTTTAGTTAAAGATTTATACAGTTCGTACTACTTATAAAAATTCTTTCTATCTTGGTTTCATTGATTCTTCGAAATATTCATATTATCCCTAACATGGGAAAACTGGGTAATAACTGGACAGTTGCATGTATGAACTAAAAAATTATTTTATTTTTTAATTAATTAATTAATTAATCATCCATGAGCATGATTGTGAAGAGTTTTCAACTGTTCGATGCAGTTGGTTTGTACAGACATACACTTAACAGAATTTTAATTTGGAAGCAATCACTTGATTAACGTCCATCGGAATAGAGAACAAGTAAACGAAATATCTATTGGTCCAAAATGTAACCAAAATGATAAATTATATTTTTTATCTAGAAAGACTCAATATATTACAAATTACATGCCACATATTTACAGCATAATGTATTAAGGAATAGTTCAACTTACGTTCTCAAAATATACGGATATATTTCCGTTTGAGTAGATAATACAAACCACTATGGCTGAAATAAGAATTTTGTTCAGTTTAAAAAATTGTCGATCATGTGGTCGTATTTTAAAAAGCAAACTAAATTGTAGAAATTAATACTTAATCATTTTAGCTATTTTCTTAACAACAGATGAATAATGTAACTGCCAAAAGAATAAACATACTGTAGTGTGTGTATGACTAATATGTAGAGCCGACGTAGCTTGCCTGTCCCAGTCTTAAGGACAGATTAATTAATACATTCTTCTTTAATTATTGTTCATACGTCTTTAAAAACTGTTGATTATTTGTTCATTACCTTGGTTGTTTTAACTTGAGTAAATATGTGCACTGCTTACTTCACTTATCACAGGTTTAGCGATAAATGCTTAGTCATGCCTCATTACATGAAGTTGGCTTGCTCGCCTTATCCACTTCGCTTCACTCTGTTTGTGTCCTTTTCATTCTGGTCTCTCTGCATAAACGATAGTTTGAAATAAACTCATCCAGCTGAATCTAAATTTGGCTTCTAATTGACGCCGTCGCACAAACGCGGTCCGGTTAAGTATGATATATAGTAACTGAAGGGGAGATTTAGTTCATATTTTATTTAATTATTCGTAAATAAACGAGTAATCATCATGGACCAATAAAGTGATTAGCCCTACTTCGAATCTAACTCAGGATACCGAAATAAAATTAAAAATAAAAACCACACACTTTCTACTAGCACAAATAACTATTCGTTTTTGCTAAATTACAGAACTTACCATACTCCTCCGGTTCATCGTCGTGCAAAGCAGACATACTTAAATTAATCCATCTTATAGCCAAATATTTATCTAAAAATAAAAAATGACATAATTTTCTTCACCGTATTAGTGTATGTAACTAACTGTATAGGAAATCAATTTCTCTCAGTGGTTATGTTCATATTCTTATTAAATTAAAACATTGGTTTTTAACTGGTGGAGGTTGATTAACATAGTTTTGTAACAATCCGATCACATGTTTAACAGTTATTGAGATTTCGCTATGTACGAACACATTTTATCGGTAAAAATGTAATTATTTCATTGGGAAAGTAGGATAATAAGTAATGAAAAGTATCATGACCAAAACGTTAAATTCCTTCTATGAATAAAAATATTTTTTATATCTAATATGAAAATAAACTGAATAGTATGACTCCGAAGCTTTCATTTTTTCCGTATAACACTTTGAGGGTATCTTAAATAGCGAGGCCAATATTTAAATTTATTCATTAATACTTTCTAAAGAAGCTGTAACACTGTAGAAAAGTTCATGAAATGCAAAGTTGATCAATATCATAGTTGCCTTTGGGTAACGATAACGATAACGCCAAATTTTCAATAGATCGAATCTTGGAAATCTGTCTAATACTCTAGGAACATGTGCAGAAGGCCGACTGTTTTACCATCTATTAACATATATCTCAGATATCATAATCAGAGTCCTGAGATGTTTGAAGTTATGAATGCCATTAAATCAACTAGATAATTCTATTGTACCTTCGAAAGTCCATAGAAGGCAGCCAGCTGTTACAACACACAAATCCAATAATTGTTGAGACTATATTTATTAGTCTGGTGATGAAAGCATAGGTCTTTCACAACTAAACTTTCAGAGGTTTAAGTTAAAACAGAAAAGACATATCACCACATAAAGCACATCAATGTACATATAAACAACTACAATTCCAGTAAGTCATTTACAACGTAGAACGTCGCATGTGTGCATATCAGTTCAGGTTGCCATACCTCATTAGCGCAGAGGAGCAATTATCATTTCAACCACATAGTAGTAGAGATAGTAAATGTATAACGGTCATGGAGAAATCGGTGTTCGAAGAAATTCTTCATGAAGCATGACTTAGTGAGATAAATTAAGAAAAAGAGAAGGGTAGGGATTATGAGAAATTCAGAAGATTAGAACTTGACAAAACACAAAGAGTGGATACACCTGCGCTGCTGGAAACGATTTTGACTCATGTCGTTCAAAGTCTCCAACCATCGATCACTATCATCTCGCCGACCCCAACTAGGTAGTCTACACTTATCAACATGACTCAGTAATTTTGCCAGTGACTTTATGAACTTGTGCCGTGTTTTAGTTTGACTACCACAAACTTTCATTTAGCCTACCCCCACATAACAAAACATCACTCTTTGAGGCGGTTGGTGGCGGGGAATACGCAACAAATGGGCCAACCACCTCAAAGGGTGAAGTTTATTAGCTCATCTATTGATCTGTCATCCTTACCTAGTTACCGTGTTCTAACAACAGTATTGCCTACTTGGTTATACCAGGATACTCGAACAATGCTTCAGAGACACCTATGATCGAAAACCACTACCCACGAATATTTCCTACTCTGACTAGCCATGTTTCACAGCCAAATATAGCTAAAATATGAGTGAAGATAAGTGGTCAGTGAAACTTCAAGAGTTGCGGTAAATTTCCGCACATGATAATAATATAACCTTTGGATATGACTGATTTAATACTTCTTGAATAATTCGAAAATTCTCGCTTTTATTTCGAGAAAATTCCGATGATTTTGTACTAGTTGGAAATGAAGTGTTTTGAGTTACACCATTCACATTAAAATCATCCATTAATAATTGTTAGACAACCATTAGAAACCTGGAATCAGTGGACTGTCGTTTCGTCCTTTTGTGGAACTCATCAGGAGTGCGCATCCCCGAATCCTTCTACCCGCAGCATTCAGACCCAGGGCTTTCGGTGGTGCACGCGAACGCTGAACTTCCGGACCACCAAACTGGCATATTTAAGTGTGACCGATCTAAGTGCTTTCGCGCAACCTCACCCATTGTCGTGATACTAATGAACACAGTAAATTAGCTACTGATTATTCTTTTTCCTCAAAACTACAAAAATTATGTTACTGATGAGTGCTTTACAACTTATCTTCATCCATTAAAAAGTATCTATCTGAAAGACACGAGTATATAGATCACTAGAAAAGTTTGATCTGTAAATGTATTGATGAAACGTACCAGTATTAATTATCTCTACTCCTCCTTCTTTATCCATTCCATTGAAAACTTCAATTTTTTTCATCGCACCAGAATGACGAAATGATTTGCCAATACCTACAATACCTTAATGAAAATAAAAACAGCATAAACGATGACAAACTGACTGACACATTGATAGACATGATGTATGTAATAAAACTGTGGTGTGAGCTACTTATAAGTAGTATATGACGTGAGTGTCAACGTAATGTTTGGCAGCAGAAGATGGGGGGGAAGATCAAGAAAGGAAGAGTTAGAAAACAATGGAATTTGTATGAAACGCATGAATAATGACAATGGATTGATTTTTTGCAACAGGAACAGTCCAGTTCGATATGATGAACTGATATTTTGCAAATTAACGATTTACGATATGGTTTACCGATTTTACTGGGTAACTGTAATTTTCGTTAAATACAATTTGGTTGCCCTCACCTGTGTTCTCGTTCACTACAAAACAATATCATCTTTCATATAGATCAGCTTTTAAAGATCATTTGATAATCATAAACAAATATGACAAAACAATCATTGACTACATATTAGAAATAAGGTTAGTGTATTTTTATAAATAAACAAATAAACAAGCCGTTTCTCACTCACCTTTTGATAGTACATTTACTGAATGATATGGTATACCATAATATTTTATTGGAAACGAAGTATTGACATTCTATATACATGAAGTTAATTAATGCATTTGACCAAAAGAAAATTTTTAAAAAAAAATGTGTGCAAAATACAACAATTTACTTGATATGATATTTCCGAAATTAAACTTGTATTCAATTTATGAAATAGTATAGGGGATAATTGATCAACTCTAGTCAATTGTGTATAATAATAATGATCAGACTGTGATTAGTTTATCAATGATTTATTTCTATAATAAAAATTCATACTTGTCTGTATGATTCATTTCCCCATATCAACTTTCCATATTCTTCATTGTTATTAATTATTAGTTGGTTGATCAAATTATCAGCGATTGTAAGTGAATATCCATAAAAGTGTACATATATAATTATTAACATGGAAGACAGCGAATCATGAAACATTAGATAGGATGAGGTGACGAAATAAATAGTTGTTCAAGTTACAATCTATTAAGAATACTTTGATAAACACCATATATATCAATGTCTCAAATCATGAAGTAAACTTTTCTTGTTTGTCACACTCTACGATTGGATATTTCGAATGTACCAATAACAGAATATCAAATTTTCGACGAACACAAATTCATATATATACATAACCTTTATTGCACAAAATATAATTACTGAATAGACATCGTTAAAAACAAAACATAAGGTGTGAGAAAACCAAAACATTAATGTTTCGATGTCAATAATAGAAAGAGTTAGTGTGTATCGGTGGATTTTCAATATAATTCCTAAACTTCGTATACTGCTTGTCCTAAAAACAGTTTGACTAGACAACACTCAATGGTTTATACGGTTCAGAAGATGAATACGAAGCGTTGATGACGTTTATTAACGTACTACAGATCGATCACAAAATCACAGCCATATGACGTGAAAGCGAAATGATATGTAAAGACGAAAACCAAGCGAATTTTGGAAAAGTTTAAAAAGTTTCACATAATATAAAAAGGAAAATGAATGAGTCATTGCAATATTTGAGTGGCTAACACTAAAGCTCGAAGAATGAATATGTTTGTAGGCAGTAAGCAATGTGCAAGCATACATGTCCATACAAGCGCATAAACAGTGTCTGTGTTTGTGAGAAAATCTGGAATTCAACAGAACATAAAATATCGAAATTTACGAAATTAAGATGTGAGATAAAACTATCGTATAAGTCATTACGGTTACGTGTAAGCTCGGGTTCGTATACGTTGTCAGTTGTATTATGACAAGGTACGTCAAGCTGTCGTTGACTATGTATCGGTAGAATGACAAGAATACCAGAATAACGAATAGGGAGACAAGATACATGGCGTCGTATTCCTTTTTGGTCGTGAAAACGTAGATTGGTTTAAGTCGTTGAAAGGAGATAAACATGACCTCGTTAGTTGAGAACATTTACAAGAGCCTCAACAAAATACTAATACATACGACTGTATACGCAGGACAAGTGACACTGATTCGAATACGATCAACATGAGAGTTTCTGTGAGAGACTATCTCTTCACACAATGCTCCGATTTACGGTTCGGCAGTAGTGGATATTAACTGCGGTAATAGTACGATGTTACAGAGCAATGAATGATATGTATGCGTGAACAATTACAATAAAATTTATTAAAAGCATCATCATGGTTGCAAGGCTTATAGATTACGGAAAGTTCATTCAAGAGAACGGTGATTGCTGTGTAAAATGTAATGAATGAACATTCGTTGTGTATGGAGATGAATGTAAGCGATTATCAGACTTGCTGTTTGCGATAGAGTAAGGATTTGCGGTTAACCGACATACTTGCAGCAGGTACGTAGATTTTAGACAACACAAACTTTTATATGGATACCAACACACATTTTCTTTCTGTGCCAACAGTTACGTATATTTTGTCTAGTTTCTATCACAAGTCTATCTGATGTCCGACCAGTCACTGGACATAAAGACACTGAATTACAAGCTCTTATGAAACGACTCGATACCTCCAACAAATCCACGAACCGCTTTCCGCAATCGGCGAAGGTAACAAGAAAGGAAAACCCAGCTAGACCTATTATTCTTCCAGGTTACTGAGACGCCTAAGCGTTGCAATAACCAGGAATCGGCATAGTTATATCTTTCCGCCCATTATAAGTTTGAGAATAGGTTGAGGATGATTGATTCCCATCTCCTCTTATCATTCGCTTTACCGGATAAAACTCTTTGTTTCTCAACCTGCCACAGGTCTTTCACCCTCTGTTGGCCAGCATGGGAAGCAGTAGTTATTGCTGGACTTGGGGCATTATAATTGCAGCGCACGTGTGGTCCCGGATATCTAAGTGTATTAAAGACCTGTTGTTGCTCAAATTCATGCGAATTTGATTTGAAATTAAAGGGTTCCACAAATCGGCAACTCTTTTCTCTGCTAATTTACTGAATACTAGTCAAACCAGTAACCGAGAATGAAGAGGCTTGAAGATACATTTGAAAGGCAAATGATTTCTTCAGAGTTGCGTGGTCTACATTGGCTAATTACAGCGAAAGTATGCATAGATCGACTTATCCAACAGCGGTCTTGTGCAAATTCGCGCCTGAGCACCTGTAGTTACAGTATGTCAGCCAAAATAAATGCGGTCAGCCACAGTTTCAAAGGATTACAAAACTATATATTTCTTAGGGATGGTTTACCTGTCACAACCCACATATTCATCCGTAAAGAGAGAAGATTAGGAATGTGAATGGTTCCTCGATGACGAAGAGTTAAAGAAGTCACAATGTTGTACTTTTTCTCTAGATGTAGGAGGTTGTTAATTCAGTACTTCGGTGGAAAAAATTACCTTATCGAGCACCAGATTATAGCATATGAATGTGTAGTTGAAATTTCAACTAGTTTAGACGACAAAGAGTAAACATACAAAATTCAAAGAAGATTCTATTATTGGCCGAATCTACACGAACACAACGCTCCACTACACCCAATGGTATCCCTCTCTACAGCCCCCTCAAACAACCTATCAAGAGAAATTTAAACGATATTAAAAAAATCTGATGGATTCATCCAACTAATCCATCAAGTCTCCAACACACGTCTTAGATAAACTGGAAGGATTAAAATTCAGCAAAGACAAAACGATTATATTCTTCGACGTGACAGCCTTACTCTCCTCAATAGAGCAAAGGTTAAGTAGGGAAACTCTATCTTTGCTCCTAATTCCACAAAAATATACGAAACTTCAGAGTCAGGGTCCTCTAGAACTCATCAATCTATGCTCAACAACGTATTTCCAGTTCAAAAACGGAATCTATGAACAAACAATAAGAATGTTAAAAGGATCAGTAATATCAGGACAGCGAGAAGCTGTGACGCAAAGACTAGAAGAAATGGTTTTACCAGCGATCAAGCCAAAAATGTGGGTTCGCTATGTAGACAACACATTCGTCACTAATAAAAGGAACAAATGAAGATTATCGGATCAACAACGTCGTTGATGACATAAAATTCACAATAGAAAAGGAATCAAACAACAGTCTATCATTCCCGGATGTACTAATCACCAGAACTGACACAGGGAATCTGAAGACCCAAGTACTTGGAAAACCATTTCACGAAGACCTAATTACCATTTACAGCAGCGATAACCTATGATCTCACAAAATCAGCTGAGTACAAACGTCGTTCAAGAAAGCGAAAACAGTGTAGAACACTTTAAGCGCAAAAAACGAAGAAATATATACAATGACCATCTTCCTAAAGAACGGCTATCCACTCAACCTCACTAAATACATCAACTCAAATCTTCAACAGGAACAAAACCAAGTCATAAACCAACAAACAGTTCATACATGAAAGATATGTCAGGACTGACAGTACGACTAATGAGACCATTTGTAATAGGTGTAGCACACAAATCAGCAGAATCACTTCGATCAATCATATGTATATAACAGGAAAAAGTGACAAGGGAGGAAAAGACAAAAATTATCTACAAAATAAAATGTTCAGATTGCGAAAAACATTATGTAGAACAAAATGGACGTCCCATTCAGCTTCTATAACGTTAACACTAACAATCACTCTAACGTCACGACATTGCTTCGCTTATATCAATACATGCAGACAAATGTGGACGTACTGTCGAATGGAACAATATGGAAATACAGGACAGATGGAGCACAAAGAACCCTAGAGAACTGTAAGAATTGATATGGTCGTCAATTGATATGCTTGAAACTATTACGAGCTCACTTTACTCGGTAAACGAGGGCGGGAACAAATGATGCAGTGACTTGATAGCTTATTCTAATGCGTTGCCATCGGCCCGGCTAACTTTATAAAGAAGTCTTGATTAGGCGTAGAAAGTGTATTCTGCAAGCACCCGGAAATACGAAGTCGACAAGCTCACAGGCTGTGCCTATTTATACGCCCTTGGGGATGTCACAAAAATGGCGGACTAAAATTTGACATCAACCAGTGATAGTCCAGTATTTTCTGAATAGGAAGTATAATCTGAATGCAGACTAAGCAGCTTATGAGCGGAAACGAAGAAAAAGTAAAATAGGAACTTTTTCCAAGTAAGTTCTGGGGACCTGACCTCTCCAACGCTCCTCCTCCCGTTTTTAATAATGTACATTCCTGGGGCCAACTTCCATCTTCATTGTCTTTTGCCGCTGTCGTAAGGAATATTTTCTGGAACGGAGATAAGCTTGTTGTTGAAATTTATCTCGTTGTGCGGCCACCGATAAGTTCAAGGTGTCTAGCAGGATGTTAAGGGAAAGATTAGCTCATGTTCATGGGCGATTTAGGGTTAACCGTTCGTGTGCATGTTTTCTGTCACGCGTCCATCTATCACCCCTTACCTCTGCTTCGTACATAACATGGCCAACTCTTCTGACCACTCGCGCTTCTGTCCAAGGACCTATGTTTGTTCAGTAGTCACGGGCAAACACAACATCTCACTTTGTAGGAGGGTTGCCTTTCCGGCTTTGTCTGTACTAGTGCTGATGCAGTAGTCGGATGCATCAGGCTGTGGGCCGTTTTCAGACTTCTCTCCATCTGGATATCTGCTGTGAAATTGTGCCACGGTAATCTCATCTGGTGTTATTCGACAAAAGTAAAAGAAATTTTGTAATGCGTCGACTGGTGACCTCTCCCCTTTTGACCTAACCAATGCTCTTTTAAATGTATCGACAAACCTTTCCGCTTGTCAATTCGACTGCGGTTTCTATAGCGTCGAGCGTAAGTGTTTGATGGCTAGCCGTTGACAGTGAGTTTGAAAATGAGACCCATCATCAGATAAGATAACATCTGGTATGCCATTTCGAAAGAAAATTTCGGTGACGAGCTGTATTGTTTTAGTTGTCGCGGGCAGCATTACAAGGTTGATTTCTGGCCATTCTAAAAGGGCGTTGACTA